TGGCCACGCTATAATTTCCTACTACCCATAATCCCATGAATTGATCATTGGTCTATAATCCTAATGCTACCATCAGCCCAGCCAACAGCTGACCAGCTCTCCCTCTCTCTTCATCCCTTAATGATATTAGTCGTAATGACGGCTGCGATTGTTTTCGCTCGGGGTGGCTTGCAAACAAAGCGGCGCATTAAATACACGGCGGTGGCGAGCAGGAGCCCTGGCAGCACAGACATACACCGGGTGGAGTTTATCGAAGCAGTGCTAATGATGAAGGCGGCATGCCGTTCTAATGCGAGGCGCCCCCTGCGGAGAGACGCCCCCAGTCGTCTCGCTCGCGTTTGCCCCCGAAGCGGCGAGGTTCTCAGAATGTCTCTCCCCGTCGTCTGCGTTCACACGCGTCAACCTGTGATGAGCAGATCGTGATGCTCGCTCTCGATTCGCAAGAAGCAATTGTTGAGATGTAGCCTAGGGTTAATGGGGATGGTAAGCTTGTGTTTATGTACGTATGAATGTTGAACCAGTTGTAAGTCGTAACTGGCTGTGATGTTTCCATCCTACCTGCCGATGTTAGTAGTTATTTTCGTCTCTGGTGTTACATTAACAGGTTAAATGTCTTTAAATTAACAGGTTAAATTTCTCACTAACACAGCCACCGTTGCTCGTTTTCCTCGATGTGGCGGTGGCTCTACAATCTTACATTGACATGCTAATCTCTCACAATACAATGGCCACCTCCGCAGCTTCGTCGTCGTGGAGGTGGCTGTCCGATTTACCAGATCTTACATTGACATGCAAATTTCATCACTAGCCCCGCCCACTTCGCTTGTGACCCTTAGGCTACACCCATCTCAAACCTTTATAACATCCTGCCTCAGCAGCTCTCCCGCTATTTTTTCACCTGATGACGATTGCTTGTGTTGCGATCGAAACGTCGTGATATATATTTTTTCTATCTACATGGCTTTACCGAAAGACCCAAAGAATACATGACCTGTATTTGGAAAAATAAAACATTTAAAGGACTAAATACATTTTTTTATTTTGCATTTGTTATTAACATCCCTTTATGAAAGAACTTTGTACAGGAGGCAAATGTAATATTATTTTCTTTTAACCTTATACATTTACTTATCTTCTAAGGCAGTGTGAATGACAAACATGGTGATTTTCTTGTGTCCACATTTGGAAGATGTGAGTGTAACTCTTGCCTGGTGCCCATCTTTCATCTCAGGTCAAATACAAAAGCACTTCTTTGTGGGAAGACAACAGTGGTGGTTCTGTGATGCGGCTGGTGATGATTATGAATATAAGTGCAACGCTTTCCCTAAAAATAGATCACTTGTTATATTGTAGATGAGGCATGCAAACAGACCGTATTTAAATTCAGTCGGTGTATGCTTGACCTTTTGGCCCACTGCTCCTCCTGCCTCTTCTCCACCCCTCCCAGCTCCTCACAACCCAACCCATGTATACCATGTGTGTGTGTGCCTGTGTTTGTGCATGTGTGGGGATCGGTGGTGTAGCGGATAGCGAGCTGCGCTATGAACCCGGCGACCTGAGTTTGAGTCCCGCTCACGGCCAACACCAGTGACAATTATTTGAACCGATTCTGGCCCTCCACTTAGTCGATTTATCCTCAAATAAAGTACCCGGTGCAGTGTGTAAACATCGCCATTGGGGAGACAAAGGTGGTCGGGCGTGGTGCCGGCCACCCACCCTCTCCTATGCCGTGCCGGCCTTCATAGGTGCTCGCTAACAGCACTTGCCCCAACAGTCTGTTCAGGCTATATGGGGAACCTTTGTCTTTTTTTGTGCCTGTGTTTTCAGTTGGACTGGTGCCGATAGGGCACTTACGGGAAGTGTGCCGCTTCAGATACCAGGCTGTATCGGTCGTGTGTGTCGAGCCGCCTGTTGTATCCCATTTGCGTAACATTTGACGTTGAATTTTCACTCTCGTTGCTTTGTCTGGTGTGGCCTGAGAGCGGATCAGGCATGGGCCTCTTGCTTCGGGATTAGCGTGAAAGAGAATCGGAGCGTTTTCATTTGCACAAATGCGCCTGCTGATTCTTAACGATTAAAGAGTTCCACGATTATTAGTAAACTTGAATTCTGGATCAGCCAATCAGGCACTGTCTGCAACATTCGGGTGTATACTTAGAGGCATAGCATTTGCCTTATTAGTCTTACGCAGTAAGAGATTACACTGACCACTAACATCGCTATTATTAAGCAAATCAATATATCACATGGTGCTATTTACATTCAAATATGGACCTTGGAATGATGCAATGGACGGGGGCATAACGGCTTTAAAGAAGCTACCAAAAGTGGCCGTGTCTGATCAATCAACCTCATTGTTCTTACAAACCTAACTCCCTGATGACATCATCGACATCATCAACAGCCATGATCTATCCACTGCTGGATCAAGACCTCCTTTACGTCATAGCCATTCCTCTTGTTTGTGCGATGTCGTAACGCTTCTTGCTCCTCTCATATGAATGGGAGAAAAACACGCTCCCCATTTCCCTTCCATTTCATCATCAGTGTTGCCCATCGTCCGTTACTCCAGCAAGTGATGCGTCCTGCCCAAGCCCACTTACTCTTTTTAGCAGTCAGTATGATTGACTGCTGTTCCTAATTTCATTTGTCTCCCAATTCCTATGTTTCCGTCTCTCGGCGTGCATTTCCCCATGCTATTTTTGTAGTTTTCAGCTTTTGTTTCATTTCCTGTGTCAGTGTCCATATATCACAGCAGAGTAAATATATATATAGGGTCATTAATGAAAGCAGAACGGGGTCGAAATTATGAAATAAATTTGCAATCAAGAGCAAGTTGAAGTGCTGTCTAAAAAAAAATTGAATTTTCCGATGAAAAGCGACATAGGAGCATGCATGAACGGGTAACATATCAATCAGTGCGGATTACCTGCTAGAGATTCCTGATGTAATTCACGTATAGTTATACAGCCAGAGAAGGCTGAAGCCAGATCACTGGGGGAGATATTGTGCGTAACCTGGCTTGGGTGGCTCCCTTGTTAATGTTTGTCAATCGAGCAATCAAATCACTCCGTATGTATGTATGTATGCTGAACTTCTTTTGCACCGTACATAGCTAACCTGATTGAGAGCCACTAGCTATGCTTTTTTTTTATCACAGTTTGCTGAGCGCAGGCCCAAAGGCCCAACGTTCCAAGCGTTCAGAAAACAAGCAACACAAATACATTTGCAATAGATGAGAGTTGATAACGTTTCTTGAATTGATCAAGGTTATACTTGTCGCATGTGCTGGATCTGATGAATTCCTTGTCCCTGGCGTCAAAGTCACATGTCCATACACTTGTGTGACTGTCGAAAGCACGCACAACCTCACCGATGTTGCAGAACATGGGTCGAGCAATAACCAGCCGATGGGAATCTCGCCGGTTCCGTGGCAGTCTCTTTTGAAGGAAGACACTGCCCAAAAAACAAACAGCCCTTACCATTTATAAGCACACGGAGGCTGTGGTGTGACCTACACGAGCTTCTATATTTATTTCTTATGAGAACAAAAAGACTGCAATGTCGTGATCAGGCGCAGCAGTGTTGTGACGTCACTCCGTCGACAATTTATTGAAGTGAATAGGAGCGTGGTCTTAACTGTAAACTTAAATTTTCTCATTCATGTTCGTTCGAACACGCAGCCAACCGAGCCGAGGTAGTTGATAAAGGGTCTGTAAGATGAGGCTTCGTTGCTTGCTTCTTTCATTAATAATGCTGAGTGATACAGGCATTCTTAGTGCAGTAATACCTTGCCAATCACGGGGGTTACGTTCCTGGAAAATTCCGTGTTGGGAAAAAAAAATGCTTTCGACAAATAATAGGCCTTATGGGAAAAAGTGGATTGCGTCCAAAATTATCACCCTCTGCCTTTATGTTTAACTAATTCTACATGATTTTCCCCCAGTTGGTGTCAAGTAAAAATAAAAACAGACGCATAATACGTGTCTAGAATAAAAAGACATTTAATAATAATAAAAAGTGAGATTTAACATTTTTACTTATGATGAATGATGGTGGGGGTGTTCGAGGGGGCTGGTGACGCTTGGAGCGAGCCTACGTAAGAGTGTTGGGGAGGGAAGATGGGGGCAAGATATCCATCCGCAGCGTCTGCTGTACTGTACAATCGTACAGTGTACTACTTGTCAACGCGGAGATGAGAATCGTAGCGTCTAACCGCCTAGAGCCGAAACATCACACCCACGTTCCGGTGAACATACCTCAATAATTAAACCATGTATAGCCGAAACACACATTCTCTAAAACTGCGTTGGGCAAAGTATGACTGTACCATATATCTAAATATCTGCTCCATTACATTGCATTAACTGTCCTGCGTAGGGATGTTCGATTCCACATTGAGATCTTTGGCCCAACATTGAGATGTTTGGCCCAGCGTTGAGATGTTTGGCCCAGCATTGAGATGTATGGCCCAGTGTTGAGATGTTTGTTACAGCGTTGAAATGTTTGGCTCAGTGTTGAGATGTTTGGCACAGCGTTGAGATGTTAGGCCCAGCGTTGAGATGTTTGGCCAGGCGTTGAGATGATTGTTACAGCGTTGCGATGTTTGTTACAGCGTTGAGATGTTTGTTACAGCATTGAGATGTTTGGCCTAGCGTTGAGATGTTTGGCCCAGCGTTGAGATGTTTGGCCCAACGTTGAGATGTTTGGTACAACGTTAAGATGTTTGGCCCAGTGTTGAGATGTTTGGTCCAGCATTGAGATGTTTGGTCCAGCGTTGAGATGTTTGGCCCAACGTTGAGATGTTCGGCCCAGTGTTGAGATGTTTGGCCCAGCGTTGAGATGTTTGGCCCAGCGTTGAGATGTTTGGCCCAGCGTTGAGATGTTTGGTACAACGTTGAGATGTTTAGTCCTGCGTTAAAATAAATGCAACCTGCAGGGGTCACCCAGGAGGGACGTTAGCCTCCGCACTGACTTGGTGGATTCCCTTCTCTCCACAGTACTTGGACGTCGACCGCAATATCTTGCAGAAGATTAAGAAAGCCGTGAAAGCCATCAACGCGTCCGGGCTGGGTGAGTCGAGCAGCTTCGACCACGCATGGTGCACACAACGGCCCACCTGAAACGAAGAATACATTCACCTATTAAAATCAGTTTCTATTCACAAGGGGGCACCATAAATCTCATAAATGTCAATACAATTTTAGTGAAACTTTAGTATCATTAAATATGAACATTAATGCCTCTAATGTATTTGCTGTTTAAGCCAATTACTTATATTGTGAACAGTTATTAAAGTAAATTGTACCAATTTGCTGACCCAATTGAAAAATGCCAAAAGAGATCAAAGGGTTGCCCAACATACCCACTCGAGGCAATTGGGCTATTTGCAAATATACAGCTTCCATATTGCTAATTAGACACATCCGGGGATAAATGCGTGTTGGAACTCTTTACATAATCCATTCTTATGGATCTTATTTTATAAATAGATTTATATTGGACCATTTCCAAGGCGCTTTAGGGCAATTATAAAATAATATTTAAAATGAGAATGGTTTGAGATGGGGAATGGTCTTATTAAAAGTGGTGGTGTAGTTTTAGTGACAGTAGCACAGGCGTGAGTCGTTAAGGAGGGGTTGCTGTAGGCCTGGTCGTAGCTGGGTTAAGGGATGAGGGGTGATGGAAAGCTGAGAGGCGGAGAGGTATTGAGGCATCGCATTGGAAAGACAAAGGGGGTCCGCCAGGGGTGGGAGCCCGGCGGTGGAAGGGGGAAACACCGCAAACAGGATTTCTCCTAACTTCATTCGCATTCTCTCGTCGCCAACTCCTCCTGTCCCCTCTGACCCCGTCAGCCCACGTGGACAGCGAGGATGCTCTGTCACAGGCTCTGGACAAGTTTGGGAATACGTTTGTGGAGCGGAACGAGATCGACCTGGGCGTGGCGTTCACGAGCGTCGCCTCGTGTACCAAAGAGATCGCCGCCGTCCTCAAAAACATGGTGCGCAGGCTTGGGCCCACTCCCACGTGCCGTCGTGTGGCTGCCGTGCCCTCCCCCCAGCCTCCGCCTTCACCGTTCCCCCCAATCGCTGCTCGCTCGGCCGCTATAGTCGGCCGCCTTCCAGCCGGCCACATCGCGATTCGTGTGGCTGCCGTGTCCTCCCCCCAGCCTCCGCCTTCACCGTTCCCCCCAATCGCTGCTCGCTCGGCCGCTATAGTCGGCCGCCTTCCAGCCGGCCACATCGCGATTGTGCCTTTCCGTCAATTAAAATCGATGCTCGTGCGCACATTGAATTTGCTCCAATTAATTTACAATGAAAACAATTAAACGCGCGAGTCGAGTAACTAAAGCGACGCTTGTGTGGAAATCGGTGTCTGGCTCAGCGTGCAACGTGAACCCTGATTTGTACAATGTCTACTCCAGTAGAAGTTTAGTGTCATCGTTTTACTTCATCACTGCCATTCTGCGAGTCCTGTTCTGCATTTCATCACTTGATGAGCTCATTTATAGAATTTTTGCAAACTACGTCATCTTATCCTCATGAATAAAAAAAATATTCCCAAGTATGGAAAATAAATATTTGAAGCACAAGTGTTTCAGTTGGGTCATGAAAACCTTGCTTTACAGCCACCTGCATATATAATAAAATAAGGCTATCAAAGACTATTGTATACGTTTGGTCTCTGGCCTTGGCATTCAGTCAAGAATGTGTTAACGAGCATGAGAAACTAGGTCTGCAAACTCCAATGGAGTTACACAATTGAACTCTAAAATACTCTTACGTGGACATTAATGCCCGTAATTTATCTGTTCATAATAGCGCTAAGTGTTATGTTGTGAACAGTTATTAAAGTCTGAGAATTTATTTTCCTTCAATTTAAAATAAATTGTATTCACTACTTTAGAAATAATACTTCAAAACACCCAACTGGTTACTTTGCAGTAAATCAAGTTTCTGAATAAAAATGTGTTAATTATTTTATGAGTTTAATTTTTTTGGGGAGTTGGCAATGATTCCCAAAGTCCAGTTTTTACCAACGTACAGGAACCTCCTTTAGAAGTATTCCACTGTACAATCCTTTGCCTTACTTATCTCCGTCTTCGCTCTTAGGAAGAGCCATTGCCCAACACTTTGGCTTGTAATGGAGTGTTTTGAACACTTTCCAACTAAGGTTGAAATTGTAAATGCGTCAGCTCTGTCTTGCCCATCTGCCTGCAAGTCAGGCACGATAATAGGAACACAACTTTAGACATAACGTTGTGCTGCTGTGAGCGACTTACCATTTAGAAAGACAGTCAAATTTATGAAAGGCTTTCCCAAAATGTAGAGATGCAATCGATGCTTAAAGGGCCTGTCAGCTGAAGCGCCCCCTCCCCAGTAAATCCACTGACCAAGCCCCCGTTGTCTCATCGTGAGCCCACGGACGCCCTGCCTCCTACGCAACTTCGACGAGCGCCACCGTTGCTATCCATGCTCCCAAGGACAAACGCGTGCTAGAAAGCGTTACATAATCCACGCACGTGCACGACGCCTTATCTTACTGCACACAGAGCGAGAGGCCAGGAGGCCGGCCCTCTGCGAGCTCAACAGGGGCCTTGGTCACCCTGGATTGTTATTCCGCAGATCTGCAACATGACCAACATCTTGGTGTTTCCGCTCGAGTCCGTGCTCAAGGGTGACTTCAAGGAAGTGAAAGGGGTGAGAGACGCGGGTTGCATGCGGGCACGATTTATTAAGACGCGGGCGAGTTGTATCAATCATGGTTCGGGCGGCGCGCTCACTAATGACTTGCCGATTGCACAGTAAGGGGCCATCCATTTAGTACGTACGCACAAATCTGTCAAAACTTTGACCCTTCCATGTACGCACGCGTACTTTTTACACCCCCCCCACCGCGTACGTATGCTTGACGCACCCCCACCGAAACCGATAGAACGGCCGATATTTAATTCACGCAGAAACGATCAAGGATGAATAACATTAATAACATTGACGTGTTAAAGAAAACAAATAGTCCACCGCCGGCTGCATTAAACAATTCAGTTGCGTACCTTGGCCACTTATTTTGCTAAGCTGCGTGATAGCTGGCAGTCAGGGGCACGGTGGCACACGAGGGACACGGTGGCACACGAGGGACACCTCTACCACAGTCCTACTTCTCCCGGGAGTACTTGTTGTCTGACAGCTGAAGAAACTGAACTGTGGCTCATTTGAAGGCCAATGTAGACAAATTATTATCGAGGCTTCACCCCCTGCCCCCCCCCCCCGTTTCCTATGCGTACGTACATTGTCAGTAGACCCCCCATACGCAAGCGTACACATTTGAGTTAACCCCCCCCTCCATGCGTACGTACTAAATGGATGGCCCCTAATGGACTGGTGAGGCTAATGGATGATCCAACTGTGCCGTACTGACAGATTACTAATAAGTTACTTGTGGCAGCGTATCTCAAATGCAACGCGGCACAAATTCCCATTTCCACTCGTGATTAGCTGGTGCGATTGTCCAATGAAAGTATTGGTAAAACCACAGAGGTTGACTGTTTGCCGGGGGAGAGGGACTGCCATTAATCAAATTATGGTCTAATGACTGCAGACAGCTCAAAATCAGTGCAGTAACAAGAATTGCAGTGGTAAAGTAGCATGGCTCACTGTCATAAAGTTACGAGTTCAAGTCCCGGTCGTAGGGTCACTTAGACCTTGATTTACCGCGGGTCAGTAATATTTGCCACCACTTTTATGGGAAGTGGCCGCTTTATCCTATGGATTCACTCTTCTTCGAAATCTAAAAGTGAATTTTCCCAAATCTCATAACTGTAAACAGGATATGAGGGCCACCCCAAACTCATTTGAGTGAGAAACCACTTCGGATTTTTTATTTTTTCAAAGCACTTTTTTTTTATATCCATATTTTTGTTCTTTCGTTAAATTAGTTTCGCATAAAATATACACATTAACGTGTTAAAGATGGTAACAACACCCGCAGCTCGCTTGTCTGTACGGTGTTTTGTAACGCATCGAGTGACTCCAAGGCCTAGACGCGAGTCTAAAATAGCGTGGGACTGCGTCGCTTGCCAACACCAAGCTGTAAACAAGATAATGCATCTCCACCGTGCATCCTGGCCAGACATAAATACACATGTGCTTGCACAGTTTTTTTTGTTGTAAGAAACAGAATTTTAACCTTTACTTCAATGGTAACGATTTTCACGGAGCCATTATTTTAATTACATTTCAGAATATATGTATCCTACGTTATTCCCCCGGCCATGATTTATCCGAACTTATAGAGATAACAGGGCTCTTAATTGTGAAATCAAAATTCCTGGTAAATGGCAGGCAACCATGGTGGCCGCTCATCCAGGCACTATCCAGGCTCAACCTGCTTAGCTTCCGAGGGCTGACAAGATGGGTGAATTCCGGGCACTTTGATAATAGGCTGGTTGCTATAGGCGGCTGCAGAGCTGTATGTATGTTGAACTTCTTTCGCACCGTACGTAGCCATCATTGCTAATCGGAGGTCGCTGTGCTACATTGTGGGCAGCAGAGGGCACATTGTGCTGTGCCTCGATGTCTCTGTTCCCCGCTGCCACCAGCCTGCATTGACCAGCAACGGTGAAGTATGGTCAAATAACCCCCTCGACCTGCAAGCCGTGCGGAGGCCCCCTTCCGGCAGCGGATTGACAAAAGGGTTGTTCGTTTTACAACGCCAAGCACTGCCCACCTATTGTCTGAACATTGAATTTTGACTTACGTTGACCCCTCCCGTGTACTGCCGCAGGGGGGAGAATACGTAGGATACGTAAACATGTAGCTATCCACACGAGGTGGGCGAGTCACATGGCCAACAGCCCTTGCCCTGAGTACTCAGTGGTTGTGTCTGTGCGCCTCTGCTTGTATGTGCAGGAACTAAAGAAGCCGTTTGACAAGGCTTGGAAAGACTACGAGACGAAATTGTGAGTGTGGTCGTCTGGTTTCATTGTGGTCAGATTAGTACATTGTTGTTTATTCATCGCATTCTATAATTTTGCTATTTATTCTGGAGCTAAATCGATATATATAAAACCAGTTAAGAGCCCATTAAGATCGGAATAATATTTTTTCTAGTGAGACCTGGGTGTAAATACCAACCTGGTTTCGACCATGTGTCCGTGTTCAGTTCAGTTTCCCGAATTATCCCAGGCCATCTACACTAGATAATCAGGCCACACAAGCTGTTGTGTTGTCACGGGTTTTTATCACGACCACAAAAAAATATATTATTTCAAACATCACTGTATTATACATTTTTTACTTTTAAAAAATCACTATTTTCAGTTTGTATTCACTACACCAATGTATATTGATCATTTTTTAGAATTTACCAAATATGAAGCACTTCGCCACTGAATCTAGCCTAAGAGTTTACCTAGCCCAGGTGTCGGCAACCTGTGGCTCTGAAGCCGCATGTTGCTCTTTAAGGACTGCTTCGTGACGTTATTTAATAAGGACCACCATCACGTATTCACATGCATTGCAGCTCTTCAAAATATGGAGCTTTTTACCGAATTTTTTATTTTAATTTGCTGACCCCTGACCAAGTCTATTGGAAGTGTTGTTTATTCGTGGCAAAATTGTGACTGTTGTTGTTGCCGCGTGTGTTTTTGTGTTGTATTTGTACGTGTATTTGTTTGTGAACCCGGCGACACGAGTTCACTTCTCACTCACAGCCAACACCAGTGACGATCATCTGAACTGGTCCTGGGCCCTCCCGTAGTTCGGCTCAACCTCAAATGAGTACTTAGTTTGAGCTTTAAACATCGCCACTCAGGAGACAAAGGCAGTCGGGCATGATGCTGGCCACCCACTCCCCTCGTGTGCCGTACTGGCTGTCATAGATGTTACTCGCTAGCAGCACTTGCCCCAACAGTCTTTTGAGACTTCACGGATTGGGGGGGGGGGGGGGGGGGGGGGGGGGTGCCGATCTTTTGTGTGCGTGTGTTGTCAATGTGCGGATCGTGTACGTGTTCCGTTCCCGTAGCTTGAAAATTGAGAAAGAGAAGCGCGAGCAGGCCCGGCAGCACGGCATGATCCGCAACGAGATCACGGGCGCCGAGATCGCCGAGGACCTGGAGAAGGAGCGCCGCATGTTCCAGCTGCAGATGTGCGAGGTATCCGTTCGCCCGTCCAGGGGTCTCACCTGCCCTTCTCTCGTTCTCTTCGTTCCTTAACGAGCTCCTGCTCCCCGTCGTGAGACTGCGTTCCGGCCTCTGTTTGGCAGGTTTTGCGAGCGGTGGGCAGCGCTCCTTGGAACTGCAAAGCCGCAGTGTTTGGCTGAAATAGCAACGTATAACAATTGTAATGTTTTTATTGTTGTTGACATTTTTTCCCCAGGCGTGTAGAGTCTGCCTTCCTAGTTCTCTTTCTCCACCCATTTCTGTCCTGGGCCATCTCCACATCCACTCGCTAGTCCTTCATACCCTGGCTCACCACTTCCAACAGCCTCTCTCTCGGACTGCCTCTCGGCCTCTCTCCGAGTGCTTCCATGTTCACCACCTTTCTTTCGGCGTGGTGTTCTTTCTTCCCTTCGACATGTCACAGCCATCTGAAGGAGCTTACAATAATAATAATGATGATAGTAATTCCCTTTACTTCCCACAGGAGCCTTACTAAAGTTTTAGAACCGTTTTTCAACAGGATTCTGCTTTGGAACGTTTGGCATTTCCATAATTGAGTGTTTGGCTTTATGTGGGAGACAACCAGAATAACAAAATAACCCGTGCATATGTTCAATGCTTTATGCAGACAGTTTAAAAAAACCCATTATTGTGAGGCCTCTCCTTGCCAACATGGAGCTCTCCCCTACATCACCTCTTATTCCCAGGCAGTCTCCCACCAATGTACGAAGGAGACTCAAGTTTGCTTAAAATTCTGAGATCTGATGAGATTACGGTTATTCAGGGTGATTTGGCCATAGGCAATTTAACAGGTTGTGAAAGTATGGGTAATGGAACCGGTCGGTCCTGTCTACATACCACGGTTGATGTACGTGTGCTGCCCCTTGATTTTTGGGCGCTGTGACCCATCACTGATGTTGCCTCGTGAGCGCTGTTGTTCCGAGTTTTGCCCACGTGCGCTGTCATCCACGTGATGAAGATGAACGTGACGTCCTTCCTCCTGCCCCCTCGGCAAACTGCGACAGCGGACTTCGTTGTTTGTGTTCTTGCAGCAGCTGATTTGCAATCAGAATAACCGAGAGAACACTTCAAAAATAGTTTTCCCGAGGATGAACAATGCATGGGGAATGCGGTGATTTTAGCCGTTGGTACTGCAGCAGAATAGATTTGGGCAGACAAGCGGGGGCGCATGAGCAGGGTTATAGTTGGCAGAGTTTGGCATTCAGCCCACGCAGCTCACATCAATACGGATCAAAAATCAGTGCCCTGCACACATTCACTCCTCTGGGAGACAGATTCGGAAGAGCACAAGAACATACTCGGCACAACAGACCAGCCATGCACCCTCTCACCTACAGGCATGCGTGTGATGTTTTATTATAATTATTATCGCACACTCCAACTAAGGTTCAAATTGGTAATGCATTTCCTCTGTCCGTCTATCTGTATGTATGTATGTGACGTGGGTCATGATAACTCTGTTAAAGAACATCCAATTAAAATGTAAAATGTATTTTAAATATTCTTGCTGTTATGGATTTACACTATTGCAAAGCATGCAAATTGCTAAAAGGAGTTAACTGACGCTTGGTGATGAAAAAATAAAAAAAACATCAGTAAAAGGTCAGCCTTTTTGGCCAAGACAAAGACACCACACGCCGTGGGCGAGCTTACCTACCCATGACGTAATTGTATCATGTCACATGTCACATGCCGTGTGATGTCATCTCATTTTGCGACTCGCAAGCTCACATTTTGGTTGTTCAACGCACGTTTTGAAAGTGTAATACAATCCATCTCTGCAGTGCCTGCTGAAGGCTTTGTTTATTCTGAGCGTATGGAAGATATTCAACAAATCTCCTTCACATATTTTAAATTACGTCAGGTTGTTTGTTACATATCCGATCTTAGGCTTTGATCCAAAATATAGTGTGCAGCCTGTTTGTGATTGCCTGTGTTGTGATTACGTGATATTCGTATCTTTTTTCTCTTTTTTTACCTTTATTGCTTTTTTAATTGCTTTGCAAACTCGTGACTGCCTGCCAGGTTTACTCGCCTAGGTGATACAAACAAGCGTAGTTGATACAAACAAGCCTAGTTGATACAAACAAGCGTAGTTGATACAAACAAGCATAGTTGATACAAACAAGCCTAGTTGATACAAACAAGCCTAGTTGATACAAACAAGCCTAGTTGATACAACCAAGCTTAGTTGATACAAACAAGCCTAGTTGATACAAACAAGCCTAGTTGATACAAACACGCCTAGTTGATACAAACAAGCCTAGTTGATACAAACAAGCCTAGTTGATACAAACAAGCCTAGTTGATACAAACAAGCCTAGTTGATGCAAACAAGCGTAGTTGATACAAACAAGCCTAGTTGATACAAACAAGCCTAGTTGATACAAACAAGCGTAGTTGATACAAACAAGCCTAGTTGATACAAACAAGCCTAGTTGATACAAACAAGCCTAGTTGATACAAACAAGCCTAGTTGATACAAACAAGCGTAGTTGATACAAACAAGCTTAGTTGATACAAACAAGCCGAGTTGATACAAACACTCTTCTCCCTCAATACCCCACTCTGCTCCTCTTTGCCACGAGGAGGTTTTTGGCTACAGAAGATGGCACTAAGCCATCGAGATGATAGTGCCAGAGAGTGACTGAGTGTGTAAGTGTGTGCTGAGGCTCTCATTCTACCACTTTTTGACTACTATATGACATTACTTACAGATCAGCTACAAATGAAACACTGAACAGACGTTACCGGCTCGATCATTCTGCTGTTCGATTTGCCCTGGATGGACCATACAGGACCCACTTTTGTGACCTTTATTTAAATTATAATCTCATATCACTTGCTGCAAGAAGACATTGACATTGGACCCTGTTTATCCATAAAATTTTGTTTGGGAAAATCTAGAATTTGCTTTGTGTGAATTCATAAACACTATTGTCAAATCCAACAAACCTGAGATGTCCATCTAATTTCCTTTTAACTATCTCTGGAGCCAACGTTTTAGAACAACCGTGTTTCCTCGTTGAAGCTAATAAATCCTTAAACAGAAGACCAGTGGCAGATACAGCCACATTTGCTAATGTGATTTGAAACTGTGAACCTTACCCATGTATGGATAGTTCAAATATAAAGTGCATTCTAGTCGAGGGACTGTATTGTCTTGGTGGTGTCTTGGATTGTTATTATTTTGCTGCCTTGCCCAAGCTTACATTTGGTCTTGACAAATCTGCAGGAATGTACGTACGGTTGCGATTTGTACTTCTATGCTCTAGCTATATTTATTTCTTACTTATACTTGGGTCTTTTGGTAAACTCACGTAGATAGGTTCATAGAAAATAACAAAAGATAAAAAACACTACGACGTTTCGATCGCAACACAAGTGGTCGTCTTCCTTTTTCTGAAGACGACCGCACGTGTTGCGATCGAAACGTCGTAGTTTTTATATTTTTTTGTTATTTTCTTTGAACCTATCTACGTGACTTTACCGAAAGACCCAAGAATATGAATTCCTGCAGTCACGAAAGCTTTAAGTCAAGATTTATTTATTATTTTATTAACTTTACTCTGTCTTACTCTTGTATCCTGTATTGTATTTTTTTATGTAACTTGTCGACCTGCTTCTACTGGACATCTGTGCAAAGAGCCTCATAGCTCATCAGATTCCTCCAGAATAAATAAAGATTCCAATTCTTAAGTGAATCTCTGGGAGTGCTGATATCGTAGTTTATCCACTGCACTACAAGCCCAGCTACCTGAGTTCGATTCCCAACCATGCCTAATGTCAGTAGCGAGTGTGATCGGAACTTGCCCCAGGCCTCCCAAAGATCGACTCTGCCTTGAGTGAGTGCCTGGTGCACTGTGTAAACATCAGCACTGGGGAGAGAAAGGGGGACTAGGCGTGGTGCTTGCTGACAGGACTTGCCCTCAGCAGTCTATGTAGACTGCATAGGTGGAATTTTTTTTTTGTAATTTAATATGTCAATAAGTGTGTACAGCTTGGGAACATACATTGGTAAAGTGCTCATTCACTGGCCATCAACATTTGCACTCCCATCTATTTATTCGATATCCTCCAGATGCTCTGGTTTACTCCCACATGCAAAATACTCAATAAAGAATTGGCTTAAGAATAGGATGTACGTAACGATTTTTTGAGAGTCGGGTTAGGCTTTCTTATATTACTTATTCAGCGTGGCGGTCGCCGTTCTGAAAGCATCTGCGTGAAAGTTTATCTGAAACGCCAATGTGCTAATGTACTGAAAATAACTATAACTCGTGGCCTAATGCATAAGTTAGAGTGCTCAGTTTGTCTGGACGAGGTTTCACAGACGCGTGCTCACCTTGGGACAATGATTTGCATTTATAGTGCGTTTAAATGCCCCAGCATCTCAGAGCACCTTTAATATTGGTCTGCGGCAGTCGAGCCTTGGGGGATCCCACAGCTCAATTCTGCACCCTCTCTCCGCGTCCTCTCTGCTTGTGATGGTGCAGTATCTCATCAAGGTCAACGACATCAACACCAAGAAGGGCGTGGATATCATGCACAGCTTCATCTTGTATTTCCAAACGCAGTACAAGTGAGTGGCCCAGTACACGCACAGAGATGCACGCACATGCTAACATTTACACGCGCGCACACACACATGTACACAATGACAAACACCATTTTGCCATGCACTGTTGAGGCGGATGATTTCTGCTAATACTGCTGAAACGGTAATTTCCCCTATCATGAAGTTGCGTGGCGTGACAGCACCGCGTGCCCCGTAGCTCACGCTACCTACTTTCTGTTTGGTATCACAGTTTTTTTCAAGATGGTCTCAAGATCATGGACAAATTCAAGATGTACATCGACAAGGCCAAAACTGTGCTGGAATCCGTACGTACAGCAACAAAAACAAGTTGTCAAAATTGCGACCGCGTCTCACAATTCAGTGTCCTTTGTTGTGGCGAGGTTTGTTTTTGCCCCGATTTCTGTTTTACTTCATTGCTGTATTTTATTTTATTTGTTATTTTTCCGTTTGTTATGTTGGTGACCCAGGTTACTCTTGGAAATGAGATGCATCCGGGACGTCTTTGAGTTCTCACCACCTGGTTATACAAATAAACTTGACTCGACAAAACTTGATGACTCAGGAAAGCTTCACTGAGGTTCACGACTCTTCCGGGCACAGCGTGCCCACTACAATTGGACGTTTGAACAATCCCATTGATGATGGAATTGTCTCTGCATGCTCATAGCTGATTCCCGATTACTATTATTACTACTACTATATTACTACATTACATGATGTGATTGTAGGCTTGCAGCAATTGCCCCCACCGCGCAACTTCCCAAGCAAGTACATTTATTGTTGTTATTTGAGATCCCAAATGAATTCAACAATTGTTTACATTTCTACCTTCCCGTTGGAATTGTCTGCCTCGTTTTTGTGACGAGTGGGGGGGGGGGGGTGTTTGAGAAATGTGACGTCACATTAAAATGCGCAACTTTAAATGAATATAGAATTATTATAACAACACTCCTACAACATCAGAGTGCAGCGCCGCATTAAACACGCACTACAATGACAATAGTCTAAAGCGATTTGAAGCATGTTTTATTTTCAAAATGGAAATATGGTTTTTGGGGGGGGGGGGCAGAGCTTTGTGACGTCATATTTGAGGGGGGGGTCTGACTTTTTGTGACGCCGTGTGACGAGGGGGGGGGGGCCCAAATGAGCTTTCTTCCTCTTCCTGACATTTCCCCACTCGTGTGTGGGATCCGCCTTTGCTACTTTATTCCAGAGAAGAACAACAACACAAAAACAACTTAACTTCTTCCGGAAGATAACTGCGGTTTACCTGATTTCAGAAACCTCGTTTCTTCTCCCGCACGAGGCGTATGTGCAGCACATGAGCTTGTATGTGCTATTTGTAATGAATGTGAACATTGGCGTCAACACGTATTCTTCCGGAAACTGGCTTGTATGTTGGTACAAATCTACTTGGTGTAATTTGCAGGTCAGTATATTTAGACAACCTAGTTGATCATTTATCCACAATTTTGTGCTGCAGTAATGCCCCAATTTACGTCTCCCCCTTTTACGTCGTTTCGCAAATACGTTGTTACTTTATTAACGCCACTATCTGATTTCCGTTGCCACAACCCACACTTACGTCGCTGACAGCATCATCCATCCTTTCTCGTATCCATCACCTCGGCCTTCGCTTCCACTCACCCCCTCTTAATTGCTTCGATTTGTGGCGTTTCGATATTCGGCATCGCACCTTTCAGGATCGCATCCCTGAAGTAAACCGGGGTATTACTGCACAATGTGAACAAAACAACAAAAAAGGACTCGCTTGGCACAGCTAATGCCGCCGGTACGTGTTGATGAAGTCAAACCCAAGAACTCTTGTCTCTCACCGATCCATTTCGTCGCTCGATCTTCATACCCACCCTGTGTACCCTGGCCACCTCCCCGCGTGGACAGAGCAGACGGGAGACTGCACGCTGGTGAAACGAGCATCTACTTCTCAAAACATGCACCCAATGAATGTTATTTATTTGTAAAAATCCATACGTGGGACAGCTTAGTTAACCGAGTTTTACAGCATGGCTACCATAGACACGGTGTGAGCTGTAAAAACACGTTTTTTTTATTGAGAAAATTGCTGCATTCAATCTTAAACAAATGTGGCACTCGTAATAATGCTGCGAATGGAAGGCCATGCGTGGGGAATGAATTTCCAATATTCTGTTAATACCGTGAAATAATATGAATTTGTTAGCTGCAATCAAACTAAGCCTTGCTGCTCTGCCTTTGAAGCTCAAGTGCTAATGTGTAAACCGTGAGGTTCGCTGATTCCCTGTGTTTGATCTTTTTTGTCTTTTTTATTTGTAAGCTGTAGTGATAGCAGCTATATGAACTGAAAGGCTAGCTCTACATTTGCTAACCGTATAGAAGGCTGCATGGTGGTAGTGTAACAATTAGCGCGTTGCGCCAAAAACCCAGCAACCCGGGTTCGATTTCCGCTCGTGGCCAACACCAGTAACGATTATCTGAACCGGTCCTGGGCCTCCCCTAGGTCGACTCGGCCTCAAATGGGTACCTGAGGTGGTGTGTAAACATCGCCACTGGGGGGAAAAAGGCAGTCAGGCGTGGTACTGGCCACCCATCCCCTCGTGTGCTGTGCCGGCCTTCATACAGTGGGGGAAAAAAGTATTTGATCCCCTGCTGATTTTGTACATTTGCCCACTGACAAAGAAATGATCAGTCTATAATTTTAATGGTAGGTTTATTTGAAAAGTGAGAGACAGAAAAACAACAAAATCCAGAAAAACGCATGTCAAAAATGTTATAAATTGAATGGCATTTTAATGAGGGAAATAAGTATTTGACCCCCTCTCAATCAGAGAGATTTCTGGCACGCAGGTGTCTTTTATACAGGTAACAAGCTGAGATTAGGAGCACACTCTTAAAAGGAGTGCTCCTAATCTCAGCTTGTTACCTTAAAAGGAGTGCTCCTAATCTCAGCTTGTTACCTGTATAAAAGGCACCTGTCCACAGAAGCAATCAATCAATCAGATTCCAAACTCTCCACCATGGCCAAGACCAAAGAGCTCTCCAAGGATGTCAGGGACAGGATTGTAGACCTACACAAGGCTGGAATGGGCCACAAGACCATTGCCAAGCAGCTTGGTGAGAAGGTGACAACAGTTGGTGCGATTATTCGCAAATGGAAGAAATACAAAAGAACTGTCAATCTCCCTCGGCCTGGGGCTCCATGTAAGATCTCACCTCGTGGAGTTGCAATGATCATGAGAATAGTGAGGAATAAGCCCAGAACTACACGGGAGGATCTTGTCATTGATCTCATGGCAGCTGGGACCATAGTCACCAAGAAAACAATTGGTAACACACTACGCCGTAAAGGACTGAAATCCTGCAGCGCCCGCAAGGTCCCCCTGCTCAAGAAAGCACATATACAAGCCCGTCTGAAGTTTGCCAATGAACATCTGAAAGATTCAGAGGATAACTGGGTGAAAGTGTTGTGGTCAGATGAGACCAAAATGGAGCTCTTTGGCATCAACTCAACTCGCCATGTTTGGAGGAGGAGGAATGCTGCCTATGACCCCAAGAACACCATCCCCACCGTCAAACATGGAGGTGGAAACATTATGCTTTGGGGGTGTTTTTCTGCTCAGGGGACAGGACAACTTCACCGCATCAACGGGACGATGGACGAGGCCATGTACCGTCAAATCTTGGGTGAGAACCTCCTTCCCTCAGCCAGGGCATTGAAAATGGGTCGTGGATGGGTATTCCAGCATGACAATGACCCAAAACATACGGCCAAGGCAACAAAGGAGTGGCTCAAGAAGAAGCACATGAAGGTCCTGGAGTGGCCTAGCCAGTCTCCAGACCTTAATCCCATAGAAAATCTGTGGAGGGAGCTGAAGGTTCGAGTTTCCAAACGTCAGCCTCGAAACCTTAATGACTTGGAGAAGATCTGCAAAGAGGAGTGGGACAAAATCCCTCCTGAGATGTGTGCAAACCTGGTGGCCAACTACAAGAAACGTCTGACCTCTGTGATTGCCAACAAGGGTTTTGCGACCACGTACTAAGTCATGTTTTCCAGAGGGGTCAAATACTTATTTCCCTCATTAAAATGCAAATCAATTCATTACATTTTTGATATGCGTTTTTCTGGATTTTGTTGTTGTTATTCTGTCTCTCACTGTTCAAATAAACCTACCATTAAAATTATGGACTGATCATTTTTTTGTCAGTGGGCAAACGTACAAAATCAGCAGGGGATCAAATACTTTTTTCCCTCACTCTAGGTGCTGCTCGCTAACAGCACTTGCCCCAACAGTCTGTTAAGGCTATATGGGGGATCTCTGTCTTTTGTGTGGTGTATCAGTTCACATATTGCACTGATTCTGGAAACTTAAGTTCGAGTCCCAACCATGGATAACATCATTGGTGGATGGTATCTAAACCGGTCCTGGGCCTCATCCAGTTTGACTCAGTCTTAGATTCAGTTTGCCCCCTGAGCCGTATGCTATACTGGCCTTAAGAGATGCTTGCTAATAGTACTGTACTTGCGCCTATGTTTTTTTAACATAGGTGGGGAACCTACAGCCAATGACTTAATTTCATGCGACCTGTGGCCACATGAGGACCTACCGCTTCGAAACAGCCGCAAAAAATATTTATTCGAAACTGCGAGCATCGTCGCCACACTACACGAATCAGATACCCGAGGGCAATATTTTCGAAATTAAAACCGACACTTTTCTTGCAGTTTTGGCATGCGATGCAAGGGCCTCTTGTACGTATGTTGAACTTCTGTCGCACCGTACGTAGCAAACCGTGCTAATTCGAGGTGCGATTGACAGTCAGTGACAGCCTCGACCGAGGCGTGCCTGCAACGCGTGGTTACCCCGCCAAGAGGCATTTGACAGTCCCGTCCATCCCTCGGTGAGGATGAGGTTCCCCAGGCCCCATTGTGTAAGGTTAAGTGGGCGATGCTTTGCGTCTCCTGCCCTTGGCGTTGCACGGCAGGTGACGCAGATGCAGGACGAGGAGAGGAACCAGCTGTGCGTGCTCCGAGACGTGCTCAAGACAGCCATGCCCAGGGAGTCTCGAGAGGTGAGCCGGTGCCGTGCGTGTGCCACCTGTGTAGTTGGCAACACCCACCAGTGCTGAGATGTTAACTACCTCGCCTGGTGTGCAGGAGGTCGTGAGTTTGATCCCGAACCTTGACGCCTGTATATTTGGAGTTTGCATGTTCTGTTTGTGGTGATTGCGTGGATTTTTCTCCGTGTCTTCCAGTATTTCCCTCCACATTCAGAAGGAACGTGCGTTTAGTGTAATTGGCTGCAATACATTTCCATGGACTATCATTTGTGGCCACGTCGCTTCTGAAAAAGAGTTATATAGCTCAGTGAGCTTTAACTGGTAAAATAACATTTGTATAGTTTAGAAGCAGTAATAGATTGGCACGTTTGTTCATGTGATAGTGTTCTTAATTGGCTGAGCCGGGTGGAAGAGGGTTGACAACGCGCATTTTATTTGCACGGTTATGATCCGAAGATTAATTATGAATCATATTGCATTGGTCGCGAAAGCCTGTACGCGTTTTGCATGCCCCAACGTATGCCCCGCTCGCATCATTTGTCCCATTGTGCGCCCTTCATAATAATGACCGATCTCATACCAGCAATGCACAAACAGAAATGCTGTGAACTCGTAGACATACAAAATTAATCGTTTTACAACTTGATCCTCACCTACAAGATCGGCGTGTCAAATTGGGCGTTTGATATATAATCAATTATAATAGATTGGTGGAACATACCAAGACAAAACAAATGATACAGACTACAATAGAAACATGACAGAACAAAAACATGTATTCTAGAATCGAATCCTTACCCTGAATCATAACAGTTAATTTCATATTGAATCACTCGGAATGGGTGGGGGTGGGCGGTTTGGCAGGGGATGGGGTTGAATCTTTCTACGCCTGATTTCTAAGATGCAACATTGCCGTGCTAAGTTCACTCCACGGTTGGTTCCCAACTTTATTTATAGGCGCTTAATAACAACACTGGTCAGACAAAGGCGGACAAATGTTTGTGGGCATATGTCCCGGCTGATGCCAATTCACGGATCGCTGTCCGTGTGCACAGGAGTCGCAAGCAAAGTTGGCCGGATACAACCTGCATCAGCTGCAGAGCAACAAGAACTTTGGCAATGAGAAGACGGGCTTCCTGCTGAAGAAGAGCGATGGGTAAGGCCAACACAAAGCCTCATGCTCACTCGGTCACCAACCCATGCAATTCGCACTTGCACAATCACCCACCAGCTCACTCGCTCTGATTCTTTTACCCACTCAGCCCCCAACCCACACACCCACCAACTCACTCACTCACTCTCTCACTCACTCACTCCCCTACTCGCACTTCTAGCCACTCACCAATTCACTAACTCACTTACGCCCCCACACCCTTATCCACTCGCTCACTTCGAATATATTTTCTGTATCGTCTGCACACTCGTCCTTTCTCGGTGTGTAATATTCACCATAATTGGTGCTCGCTAACATCACTTACCCCAATAGCCTGAAAAACATAAAATAGGCTTCTTGTATATGTATGAGTGTGTGCCTTATTCAAATCCTCACTTGTGTGTGTTCATCTTTGCACGTATTTGTGTGTTTTTCTTTTGAGTGTGTGAGAGTGCATATGTGCACGAGAATGCGTGTTAGCGTGTGCGCTTTTGTATATCATTGTACACATTGAAATGTCCATCATTGCGGCTGTCTTTGTGTCAGGTGCTTAAATTCTTACTCGACTATGCCTATAGGTGCCTGGACGTGACCCCTTTGTCTGCGCGTGCATCCAAGTCTGCAGCTGCCATTCTTTGTGCCGCTTGTTTTTCCGCATATTCGCATGCACGTTCGCCAGCATGCATGTGCGTGCACGTTGTGTGCACGCACGTCACCGCCACTCCCCAATTGAGCTCAGTCATTCCACATCACAGCGCCATTTACTGCCGCCCTCCCCACCTTTAAGTGTTGACATTTTCTCGGAAATCTACTTCCAAAATCCCCGGCTCTACTCCGCTGTTCTCGGAGCCATCGACCTCCTTCAATAAATTGCCCGCTATATTTAGACCTCTCTGTTTTCCTTTGGGATGCGTTTCTAGAATAACAGGAGGATGCCCTCTGACCTGGGTAACGTGGAGTCCAGACCACAGCAAGGCGTTGGAAGTTGCGTCCGAGTGCAGTTAGAATAAGAGGGCTGGCCTTCTTGCCAAGTCAACGTATTTAGAAGGGCGCTAGCACGGCCCCTGAGCACGTGTGTGTGCAGGATTGTCGGCCGCCTGGTTCTTCGGCTTGTCAACAACACGCAATTCGAAAACATTATTCAAAAATAACTTTCTTAAGTAAAGGTTATTGTTTGTTTTGTTATGTCTTCCTTCGTGAGCGTGTGGCCCAGCGGGCCGATTTAGTGCGGCATCGCTGCAGAAACGCCGCCCCTCAGACCTGCGGCATCTCTATTACGCACGATGGTTGTTGCCCTATCCAAGCTCCATATCTTAGCTCAACCCTGCTTAACTTCTGAGAGCTGACGAGATTGGGAGCATTCTGTGTGGTTAGGTCACAAGACTACGTTGTGGGCAGCATCAGGAAAATTAGTTGGTTTACTACGCGCCGATGTCTGCTCTCCCCGCCTTCACCAACCCACACTGAGCAACCTGCCGAATAATGGTCAAATTAATCCCCACAACCCACGTGGCGAGGTTAGGCCCTCGTCCAGCAGTGCATTCACAAAAGTTAAATATTCCAGGTTAACACTGCGTTTGTGCACTGAACCAGCACCACTGAGACCCTAGGTTCGAATCCAGGCAGCTTTTATATGCAAAATTGAGTGAAAAACTAATCTGGATAACCATAGCACAATTTTAATATCACTTGGAGAATAAACTAAATTAAGGATTCTTATAAAAGCTCGCATTGCAAAATTGTACACGTGTTTCTTATGGGTTGGTGAAGGCCCCTCCTAACTGCTAGGTTCTTTCAGTTTGTTTTAAATTCTGTTCGTTTACCAGTATAGAAGTCGAGCATGTGATTATGAGAGACTGAATGCCATTTCACTCTCCCAGCTACATGAGCCATGCCCGTGTGATCGATATGGTGTCCTTGGCCAATTGATGCGACTTGTTAACCTCGGCTCTTACAGGATACGGAAGGTTTGGCAGAGACGGAAGTGCGCCGTGAAGGGTGCATACCTCACCATCTCGCATGCCACGGTAAGGGCCGATATGGAACCTACGTCCCATTCTCTGTGTGTCTGTGTGTGTGTGTAATCAACGTGCTCGATTAAAGGGTGACTCATTGGGTTCAAAATGCCGGTGTCAAGAGCACTGAGCTCTGATTGATTGATGCTGTGCAGCCAATCTGTGGATATAAAAGCTCTCAAGTGTCGAGCGAGTGGATGGTCTTTCAGCCGGTAACCAATGAGCACACAGTAATATCACAGGAATATGGTTTCTCGCATGAATTTTAGTAGGCCTTGCCCGGCTCTAAGAGTGAGTTTGGCAGATACACGTACAAGAATTATAGTCTTGAGATTGTAGCAAGGTAAATAAAAAAATAGGCTATCCACTTAAATACTAAATAAACAACAGGCCAAATTCAATGATCATTTATGAGGCTATAGAGCTGAAATATATCTTTATGAGGATGCTTGTGTGTGCTTGTGTGTGCACACGTGGGGAGCGGTAGTGTCGTGGTTAGCGCACTGCGCTACGAACCCAATGATCTGAGTTTGATTCCCGCTCATGGCCAACACCAGTGACGATTATCTGAACTGATCCTGGCCCTCCCCTAGGTCGACTCAGCCTCAAATGAGTACCCTGGTGCAGTGTGTAAACATCGCCACAAGGAGAAAAAAAAGGTGGCGGGGCATGGTGCTGGCCACCCACCTCCTCCTGTGCCGTGCCGGCCTTCTTCCTAGGTGCTCGCTAACAGCACTTGCCCCAACAATCTGTTAAAGGCTATACGGGGGGGGGGGGGGGTCTTTGTCTTTGTGCGCACGTCAGGCGAACCAGCCGCCTGCCAAGCTGAACCTGCTCACCTGCCAGGTGAAGCCGTGCCTGGACGAGAAGAAATGCTTCGACCTCTTCTCCTGTAAGTTGCCACTCCTCAGCCGCACCCATAAACGGGTCCCCGTTTAGCCAAACACTCCAGTTGCTCCACCGGATCCCAATCCAATCCCACACGGATTCCAAGATCACGCTCACTGTCTTCTAGATCCTCCAGCCCCTTCCTACCTCTCATCCCACTCTACTACCCTCCACACACCCTCCGACCTCCCCCCTTTCATCCCACTCTACTCCCCTTCACAGATTCTCCGCTCCCATTCTAAATTTCACTCGGTGAGAGGTCACTCACTCTCCTCTGCTGCCACCTCCTCTGCTGCCCCCGTGGTCAGGAACTCCCCCCAGCCCACTGTGCTGTCAGCTCCATGCCCCTGGTGAAGTCCTTGCTCAAGACCCTCCTTTTTACCCTGGCTATGATTGATTGACTGCCTTACTCCCTAAAACAAATCTGCGAACTGGTTCTGTACAGCGTCTTGACATTTGGTCAAAATCAGATGCCAAATAAATCCAACTGGTATTCATCTTCTTTGGTTCTTTCGGTAATTAGTGAGAATATTATTGTGTTATTTTATTTGATCAATTTATTATTTTATTCTCATTCTACGTGACTTTACCGAAAGAACCAAAGAAGATGAATCATTGCAGTCACGAAAGCTTTAAATCGAAATCCAACTGGTATTGTACTGTATGACATCCAGCTCCTATGGAAATTACCACCCAGCATGGCAGAGGGATAGTATTTTGTTCAGTGTTTTTGTGTGCCAATAGATGCTTATGTGGTTGAGTTGCTTGCCTCTAAATGGCATTGTCTTGTTTTTATTTCTGCAGACAACAGGACATATCACTTCCAGGCCGAAGATGAGCTGGACTGCTTGAAGTGAGTGTTTGTCTTTTAATTTATTCATTTGATTTGATTGTTATGCTGGTTAGAGTCCATGCTGAAAAGACAAATTCATTCCGAAGCATACTCTTTGGGTCTTTCGGTAAAGTCACGTAGATGGGTTCAAGGAAAATAACAAAAAAACTACGACGTTTCGACCACCGCGCAAGCGATCGTCATCAGGAAGAAAAAACAAGTGAGTGTTTGTCTCTTTTTTCTTCCTGAGGACGATCGCCTGTGTTGTGGTCGAAACGTCGTAGTTTTATGTTGTTTTTTTGTTATTTTCTTTGAACCTATCTACGTGACTTTACCGAAAGACCCAAAGAATATGAATTACTGCAGTCACGAAAGCTTTAAGTCAAGATTTAGAATGAAGCAATTCACGTCATGGCATACACTGCCCTCTGCCGACAACATAGCCCCATAGTAGCCTAAGACTTCAATTTTCACGCATGGCAGTGGCCCATCCATGCACTCTGTAGGCACTGCTCTGCTTAGCGTCTGAGATGTGCGGATATCGGGCGCCATTCCCTGCGTAGGTGCCTGCTGTATAGGTGGTTATTAAAGGTGCTGCCACTTGCCTCCTCTAGAGGGAGCTCAAGCGAGCCCCCCCCAGACGGCATTGTAGCGTGTGTAGGTTCGCGTTTTGTGTTTAATGCACACTCCATTCTCAGCCTCTTGTTTTTAACCCATGCGCTGTGCCCCCCTGCACCCTGCCCCACTCTGCGAGCAGCTGGATCCAGGTGCTGGTGAACGGGAAGGAGGAGGCGCTCAACAAGGAGTTCTTCAACGACAGCGGTGGAGGCGTCGGTGGTGGTTACGTGGAGGGCAGCAGCGCCGATGACCTCACCAAGGCCATCATCCTGGACGTGCAGCGGCTGCCCGGCAACAACATGTGCTGCGACTGCTCCGCACCCGGTGAGGCCCAGCCCTGTAATCACAGTTCAGACGTTGTTGAACAAGAATGTGTGCGTGCATCTGATGGGGAGCAGTAATCTAGCGGTTAGCACGCTGCGCTATGAACCTGGCGACCAAAGTTCGATTCTCGCTCAGGGCCAAAATCGCTGATGATCATCTGAACTGGTCCTGGGCCTACCCTAGGTCGACTGAGCCTCAGATGAGTACCTGGTGCAATGGGTAAACATCGCCGCTGGGGAGACGAAGGCAGCCGGGCGTGGTGCTTGGCCACTGAGCCCCTTGTGTGCCGTGTCGGCCATCATAGCATGTTAAGGCTATAGGGGGGATCTTTGTCTTTAGTGTCTGTCAGTGTAAATTTTTATTTAAAGCTTTCGTGACTGCAGGGATTCATATTCTTGGTTCTTTCGGTAAAGTCACGTAGAAGGGAAACAATAAAATTATAAAAAAATAAAATATAAAACAATAAAATTATCACGACGTTTCGACTACAACACAAGCAATCATCAGGTGTGAAAACCACAGCAAGAAAATTTGAAAAAAAGTGCCGGTTTTTTTTCAAATTGTATTGTTTCCTTCTACGTGACTTTACCGAAAGAATCAAGAATATGTCTGTCAGTGTGTCTGTGTGGCTGTGGCTGTGTTTGCGTGAGAGTCAGGATTGAGCAGTGGTGCAGCGATTAGCACCCTGCGCTACGAGCTCAACGACCCGAATTCAATTCCCGGCCACATCTGACATCAACGGTGATTATCTGGACCAATTCTGGGTCTACTAGGTCAGCTCAGCCTAAAATAAGTACATGTGTAGGTTTTGACTTTAACATAGCCATTTCCGTGACCAGTCACAAGCTAATCCCTCAGTTATTTGCACAAGCTAATCCCTTAGCTATTTCAATGCTAAATTACTAGTTGCCTCTGTGGATGTGTAGGTTTTGACTTTAACATAGCCATTCCTGTGACCAGTCACAAGGTAATCCCTTAGCTATTTCAATGCTAAATTACTAGTTGCCTCTGTGGATGTGTAGGTTTTGACTTTAACATAGCCATTCCCGTGACCAGTCACAAGCTAATCCCTCAGCTATTTGATATGTAAACCCCTTTGTCAAGGTGCCTCACTTCTCCCAACCAGCTTAAAAGTCTCTACGAATCTTAACAGCGTTCATTGAAGCTCTGTGGATGTGTAGGCCTTTACTTTAACATCTATTTCTGTGACCAGTCACAAGCTAATCCCTTAGCTATTTCAATGCTAAATTACTAGTTGCCTCTGTGGATGTGTAGGTTTTGACTTTAACATAGCCATTTCCGTGACCAGTCACAAGCTAATCCCTTAGCTATTTCAATGCTAAATTACTAGTTGCCTCTGTGGATGTGTAGGTTTTGACTTTAACATAGCCATTTCCGTGACCAGTCACAAGCTAATCCCTCAGCTATTGATATGTAAACCCCTTTGTCAAGGGGCCTCACTTCTCCCAACCAGCTTAAAAGTCTCTACGAATCTTAACATCGTTCATTGAAGCTCTGTCGTCCCGACAGTTCTGTACCTTTCACCTAAAGATGGCCGCTTGCGTTGTGGCCGAAACGTCGTGAGAATTTTATTGTGTTATTTTATTCTTTTATTCTCATTCTACGTGACTTTACCGAAAGAACCAATGAAGAAAAAAAACAAATTTATTGTCGTGCTATTTTAAATTCACGGGGTTGTGTTTTAAATATTCGCAGCTGTAGCACGCGACTACCGGACAAGAAGTACGATACTATACTGGCACATTGTATCGGCGTGGATGGTGAGAGCTCTCCCCATCAGTCTGCCTTTGCCTTCACCAACACGCACTGACCAGCGTGGTGAAGTATAGTCAAATAATCACCCGGCTTGGGAGGCTGTCGATTGACAAAAAGGGTTGTGCATATACAATTTTTTTTGGTATTTAATTCGAGCTGAATCTCATTTTGTTACATTCATCTTGCTGGTGTTATAATTTTAATCATAAATACATTTTCTTATCACACCACTGATGTTTAGCTGTGGCCAGGAATAGAACTCAAGTCATCAGATTCGTAGCGCAGTGGGATAACTACTATGCCACCATTCCTCCCCTATTGGCACCATCCACAGGACTCTTTACAAATTGTATTTTAGCATTTCACACCCGAGTCAAGAACGCCAAACACAACACACGTAGGAATAGTCGTAATGTTACCGTATTCTCCGGATTACGTGACGCTCGGGAAAGTAAGACGCACTCCAGTATCAATAAGTTCTACAACTTTGGCCATACACAGACACACAGACCTGGTGGATTATAAGATGCAAGACTGGAACACCCTGCTACTCGTGGTTAGACAGGCAAGATCACTCGCCCCGTTTAGCTGTTTTATAAGTGTAGGCCAACTGTTTCAGCTGGCCTACACTTCCCATGTATGATCAGTGGGCTCCAGACTACCTTTTAGTATTAATATTTTGTAACTTCTCGCATGGCACACTGAGATTCCTGGATGAATTGCGCCTTATAAATGTCAATTATTAATATTATTTGGGTCTTTCGGTAAAGTCACGTAGATAGGTTCAAAGAAAATGTTTAAAAAACTACGAAGTTTTGGTCGCAACACAAGCGGTCGTCATCAGGAAAAGCGGGGTTAGCTTCTAAAGGCAAACTGTTTATAAAGGTTTGAAATGGGCGTTGCCCAAATATCAGCAGCATGGGCGGGGCAGCTAATGTTAATGTAAGTGGTGGGCGGCGACTGCGGCGGTGGTGGGTTTTCCACCAATCAAAGGTCTGCCAGGTAAAAATTAGCATGTTAATGTAAGATTGGTGAGTGGCCTCCACGGCGAGCGTGCCAAGGTGGCTATGTTAATGTGAGAGATTAGCGATTAGCATGTTAATGGCAGATCGCCAAGCATCCTCCACGGCGAGCTCACTGAGGTGGCTATGTTAATGTGAGAGGTTAGCATGTTAATGGGAGATCGCCGAGCATCCTCCACGGCGAGCGTGCCAAGGTGGCTATGTTAATGTGAGAGATTAGCATGTTAATGGCAGATCGTGAAGCAGCAACCTCGAGGATGGCACGCGCGAGGTAGGTTAGTGGGGAATTTAATCTGTTCATGTAAAATATCAGAGAGCCGAAAATAACAACTAACATCGGAAGGTGGTAGGATGGGAATATAACAGCCAGTTATGACTTAAACTGGTTGATGACGTCCTTCCAATGATTGCTCAGTCTGTCCCCATCTTCTCGGTTGAAATTGTGTCTGTGTCTATATATATGGATGGCTTCATGAACTAATCTGTGTTGATAGCCAGTGGGTTTGCAAAGTACCTTCGTCTTGGAGAAATCAATTTCGTGTGCGCCCACCGCATTAAAACAATGATCAGCCACGGCTGAGGTATTGGTCCTACCGTGTTTACGATCTGCCTTCTGTTCACGAACACGGTCCGAGACATGTTGCTTAGTTTCCCCAATGTAACTGCTGCCACAGACGCAGCTTAGTTTGTAGAGGCCGGGGTATTGCATGTCAGGAATCACATCTTTCACAGATGGGATCAGATCACGAATTTTATGTCCTGTGTTAAATCGAACTTGGATCTTGTGTTTTCTCATGATTTTGGAAATCTCTTTGGTGACCCCTGCTATGTATGACAAGGTGATGGTTTTGATTGGATCCTCAGATGGTTCTTTACCAACGGTTGGGGTGATAGCTATACGGATTGTGTAGTCTGAATAACCATTCATCTTGAGAGCTTGGTGTACGTGTTCCAGTTCAACGGCTAGGTGATGATGGTCAGAAATACATCGAGCTCTGTGGTGTAGAGTTTTGATGAGGGAATTCTTCTGGGATGGATGGTGGTGGGAGTCAGGTTTTAGGTAGGCATCCGTATGGGTGGCTTTCCTGTAGACAGTGTCCCATTGAGCCATCTGGTCTCTTTTCGATTAAAACATCCAAGAATGGTAACTTGCCATCCTTTTCCACCTCCATGGTGTATTTGATGGCTGGGTGTATGGAATTAATGTGGTTGAGGAATTGGTTCAGAGCTGGTAGGCCATGTGGCCAGATGACGAATGTGTCATCTACGTACCTCTTCCACAAGGACGGACGTAGAGTGGATGCCTGGATGGCATCTCTCTCAAATTTTTCCATGAAAACATTGGCTACAACTGGAGATAAGGGAGAACCCATTGGGGTACCTTCAACTTGTTTGTAGAATGTTCCGTTCCAGGTGAAGTAAGTGTTGGTGAGGCAGTGTCTCACCAGGGCCGGTACATCAGCATTCATGTCTTTAGAAGCTAACCCCCATTTTCCTGCTGACGACCGCTTGTGTTGCAATCGAAACGTCGCAGTTTTTTGTTGTTATTTTTTTTGTTATTTTCTTTAAATCCATCTACGTGACATTACCGAAAGACCCAAAGAATATGAATTCCTGCTGTGACGAAAGCTTTAAGTCAAGATTTATCATTGTTAATATTATTATCCTAAATGTTCCCTTAAAATACAGGGGGGGGGGAAACGTGCCTGCCCTTATAACGTGGACAATACGGTTAGTCGTGGTCGTCAGGATGTCGTCGCGTCTCGAGCCGTTGACGCGGTCCGCGCCGGTGGTTTTGCTCACGCGCGGTCAACCGTGTGGCGCGCAGACCCAACGTGGCTGTCCACCAACCTGGGAGTGCTGACGTGCATCGAGTGCTCGGGCATCCACCGGGAAATGGGAGTGCACATTTCCCGCATCCAGTCTCTCAAGCTCGACCGCCTGGGCAACTCCGAGCTGCTGGTATGGAGCAGCAAAGCGCGTGCACGGTGACACGCGCGCTCACACATTCACGTGTCCACACATACACGCACAAATGCACACACGCACACACACACGCGTTCACACATTCACGTGTCCACACACGCACACATTCACGTATCCACACACGGGCGCACAAATGCTTGCACGCACGTATGCACACTGACTCACATGGACAAAGTCACGATAACAAACGTGCGTGCACCTGCGTATATTCACATATGTACCGTACTCCACGCACTTATGTACGTGCATATGCAAATGTGTTTACTCCTGCGTCCATACACAACACACATAGGAGTACATACACACACACGAGCTCAGTATTCCCATCCGTTGAGACTTAGTCACCCCCCCCCCATCCCCACACGGTCAGCCCCCCCCACCCCTCCTCCAGCCCCCTCCCACCCCGTTCCTATGCTGTTGTTTGGGCTGAGCAAGTTCCTCCTCCCCCAAGACCTCACAAAAATGCTCAGGAAATCTGCAGACCTCATCCTGGGGCTTGGAGATCAGGTTGCCAATCTTCCCCTTTAGAAGTGCATTGCGAGTGATTTTTTTTTTTTTTTCCCCACGGTTTCAAAGCGTGCTTTGTGATTGCGGGCTGCCGATGCATTTTTCATCTCCGCGGCAGTCGGCGACCGTAGCTCATCCTCGCAGCGCCGCACGGCTCTCCGAAGGTTGCCGCACGGCTCTCCGAAGGTTGCGATGGAGCCTTCTCATTCTTGAGAGCGGGCAGTTGTGGATGCTGAGAACAGTTCCATTGCTGTTCCGTTCCAGGTGAAGTAAGTGTTGGTGAGGCAGTGTCTCACCAGGGCCGGTACATCAGCATTCAGTCCTTGTTGGACCAAATCTTCAAAGGTTGCAATGGTGTCAAGCACAGGAACTTTGGTAAACACCAACACTTCACCTAGGAATGGAACATTCTGCAAACAAGTTGAAGGTGCCCCAATGGGTTCTCCCTTATCTCCAGTTGTAGCCAATATTTTCATGGAAAAATTTGAGACAGATGCCATCCAGGCATCCACTCTACGTCCGTCCTTGTGGAAGAGGTACGTAGATGACACGTTCGTCATCTGGCCACATGGCCGACCAGCTCTGAACCAACTCCTCAACCACATCAATTCCATACACCCAGCCATCAAATTCACCATGGAGGTGGAAAAAGATGGCAAGTTACCATTCTTGGATGTTTTAATCGAAAAGAGACCAGATGGCTCAATGGGACATTCTGTCTACAGGAAAGCCACCCATACGGATGTATACCGAAAACCTGACTCCCACCACCATCCATCCCAGAATTCCCTCATCAAAACTCTACACCATAGAGCTCGATGTATTTCCCACCGTCATCACCTAGCCAGTGAACTGGAACACGTACACCAAGCTCTCAAGATGAATTGATATTCAGACTACACAATCCGTAATACCATCACCCCAACCGTTGGGAAAGAACCATCTGAGGACCCAATCAAAACCATCACCTTTACTTGTGCTTCATGCCCATTTCAAACTTGCGCTTTCACTGTCACTTCGCACGCCGACCCCTTGTTTGCGGAGCTGCGGTCTCCCATTAACATGCTAATCTCTCTTTAACATGCTAATTTTCACCTGGTAGCCCTTTGATTGGTGGGAAACCAACCACCGCCAGGCTCGCTGCCGAACACTTACATTATCATTGGCTGCTGACATTTGGGCTACACCCATTTCAAACCCTTATAAACAGTTTCCCTTGGAAGTGAACCCCCCTTTTCCTGAAGACGACCGCTTGCGTTGCAAACGAAACGTCGTAGTTTTCTGTAATTTTTTTTATTATTTTCTTTGAACCTATCTACGTGACTTTACCGAAAGACCCAAGAAGATGTAAGAAGCGCGATAAGAGCATCGTCCGATTTGTCAAACATCGGCAGATTATGATTTTCGTTGCTCATTAATAGCTCTGAAATAACCGTAAAGTTCACAATAACAGTGAAAGTAAAAAAACAATATTACTGTAAGCCATTCAATTAGTGCTTTGTATAACATTTTCCATAGTCGTTTACAGCATGGAGATTATATTACGTCATCATTTTCTGACAGAATGGTCATTGTAAATAGATTATAAAGTATCACTATTTAAAATAACCTGTGGCTGGATTATGTTAAGTGAACTTTCAGTTAAATAACAATTTGAGCATCTTTAGTTGTACTTAAAATACATGGAAGCAAAAAAACAGGGAGATTAAACGGTGAAATACAACGGCAAATTTAAGGGGAACTGATATCACGATAATAGTCGAATCGTGAATATTCAATACCATGTCGTGAAAAATGACACCGCAACAACTTTACCAGCCACCCAACGACCAGCGCCCATAGAACGTGTGTGCGTGCGTGCGTGCGCGCATCCAACCTGGCAGCGCATTCTAGTGTCAGTAAGCATATGTGCATGGCAGCGTGCAACAGCGCGTCATTGTGTGGGCGCGTGTAGGTGGCATTGCGCACGTAACGATGGCAACGTGCGTGGGGCAGAGCGATGACGACGGGCTACACGTGTGTTCCCCCTCCCCAATCCTGCGCAGTTGGCAAAGAACGTTGGCAACACGGGCTTCAATAAAGTCATGGAGGCCGAGCTGAAGAGCACAAATACGGCCAAACCCACGGCGATGAGTGACATGTGAGTGTCTGCTACTCCCTCTTGTTTTGGCTGCGAGCCTCGGAAGGCAAAAGGCAGGTAACGCTCTCTGTTATCCAGGGTTGTGGGGCGAGCGGTGGCTCGGATCAAACAGTAAACACGAAAAATGCAAAATGTATGCGAGTTGGGCTGTAAAATGTACGCATTGTTTAGCTTCATGGAATGGGATTGAATAACCTGAAATTCTTCTGTAATCGGTTTGCTTGCCGTCATGTTTGTGGTCACGTGGTCACCTAGTCACTGACCATCAATGAGTGTGAGAGGTAGCTGATAATTAAACAAGATATTCTATGAATGTCTATGGAGGCATGCGAGAGTTGATGACGGTGACATGGCCCTGCGTGGCGCATTCGCCGCTTGTTGTTGCGGAGGTTCAGGTTTTAAATCAGGCAGGCCGGTCTGGTTAATACTGCGGTGTATGTAACCTTAAGTCACTCCGCGCCGTCTGCTTCACATCGGACATTCAAGAGCCCATGCCAGCAGTAGGAAGAAGAGTAGGCTGTGCGTGCTGGCATCAAGGTCTAAATTTGACAAATTTGAAAAATGACTCCCAAATTACGGAATTGGGAAACGCATAGCGCCCCCTACTGTGAAAAATTAGCACGACCCACCTGAAAAAGAGTCGAGGCTCTCTGTGATGCTTTTCTGGGTAAACAAATGCTAAACTCATGGTAGCTTCTCCATCCATCGTGAGTTGATGCAGAATGTGGAATTTCCAGCGCTGGTTCAGGACCATCAGCAGAGAGAGAGAGAGAGAGACAAGATTGCCACCCAGCGCTCGCTGAGCACGGGCGCACTCCATCCTGCCCTTTGACCTGAAGCCTGTGTTGCGTGGGATGGCGCAGGGAGGCGAGGAAGGGCTTCATAATGGCTAAGTACGTGGAGCGGCGCTTCGCCCAGAAGCCCGAGGCGACTGCTCAGGACCTGCGCGGCGCCTTGGTGGAGGCGGTGCACGAGAAGGACGTGCTCAAGCTCCTCGTGTTGTCCGCCAGCGGGGTCGACCTCTCCGGCTCGCTGCCCAGCACGCGTGGACAGGTGTGGAGCACCGGGCTGTGTAGGCGTTGCACGCGCAAGTCTCCCCGTTTCCCCCGGCAGGCTGTGGATGCGACACGAAGGAGTGGGGGGGGGTGGGGGGCAATCCTTATCCTTGTTTTTGTCTCTTGCATGCTTGTGCAACACCAGGAGGCGGGCGAGACTCCACTGCACCTGGCCATCCGGCTGGCGGATGTGTCTCTGCTGCACATCGTCGACTACTTTGCGCAGAACTGGTGAGGGGCACCTCGCTGCATACTGGAGCAGCACCCGCGGGTGGCCTTTCTGGAGGCTTGAGCCAAACTGCACGAGTCAGCCTTTTTGCGGCACTTACGTGTGCAGGAGCTCACGAGCCGAGAGTCCATCCGCGATCAGTCTGCAATGTTTAAAACAGAATACTGCAATGGACTCTGCCTTCGGTAGTAACTTGGCATCCGAATATTGTCCAGTGCGTAAAAAATTTGCATTTCCCACTGTGTTATAGAGAAGGCTGATCTTCATTTTTTGCACCACCATTTTAACCAGAACTCCAATTAGCAGAGCCTCCAGTCAATCAGCGATATATATATTGTTAGCCGCAAATGAATTCTTATTATCTGCGTTATTACATGGGTTTGAAGATTTCCCCAGAAGCGGTCTGCCGGAAGTAATACTTTTGTCCTAGGATCCACATTTTCACGGATAAAAGAGGTCAAATTTTGACTTAAGACTTTCGTGACTGCAGGAATTCATATTCTATGGTTCTTTCGGTAAAGTCACGTAGATAAAAATAAAAATAAAAAAATGAAAATAAAGTGAATAAAAAATAATAAAAATATCACGACGTTTCGATCGCAACACAAGCGGTCGACCGCTTGTGTTGCTTGACTTTACCGAAAGAAACATAGAATATAAAAGAGGTCAGTTTGAAGTGATGGCAAATTAATCCGATTGCTTTTAGCCACAGCTACTCGCGCAGATAGAGCATTTTCTACGGTTAGACTCTTGTAATAGAGCTCCCCCTGCATCAATGTGGATTAGAGGAGTGTCACTGTGTTTTGTCAGTCTCGCTGGAGATTAAACACGTTTGGCACAGTGCTAACTTTACGCGCGCTCCGAGTCGGATGCACTTTCATAAAAAAAAAACTGATGTTGCTTTAGTAAGCACTGCCTCCTCCTCCCTCTTCCCCGTACGCATTCCTGCCGTCGTCGCCATGCGCAGCCACAACATGGACAAGCAGACGGAGAGCGGCAACACGGCGCTGCACTACTGCTGCCGCCACAACCAGACCGAGGGCCTCAAGCTGCTGCTGCGGAGCAAGGCCCACACTGACATCAGTACGCGAGCGCAGCGGGACGCACAACCCCTGAGGACCGCCATTCCGCAACCCCCCCCCCACCCCCCGAAAAGAAAAAAACCACGCGGTTTAAAATGTTTCAATCGGAACACCCCTTAGGTTGGGCTACGCGGTGGGCAGCAGCAGGAGACGGCAATGCAGCGCAGTTGTACCGCACTTTTGAACGCCTTCGCCTGTGCTCCCCGCCTTCACCAGCTCGCACGGAAGCAGCGCTGGTGAAGTACGGCGAAAGAGCTCCCGCTGCCGCGCAGCATGGGGAGGCCGTCATCCAGCAGTGGGATTGACAAAGGGCTGCACGTGTACTTATGCCGTGCTGTCTGACATGGGTTTGAAGCTCCGTTAACGAGAAATAAGCATTGGATGTGACGGCATCGTTGCCGTTCTCATTTGTGTCCCGCTGGGTGGGGAGGTGATGTTTTTGGGCTTGGTGACATCTTTAGCATCATCAGCCGCTTCACCCTGGGATCATAGGGGTTTTCCTGCCTTCACAAGGCATGGCTGTGGGGGGTGGCTGCCATTGTTTAACCAAGCCGAGTAATCAATTACGAATTAATCGACTTAATCATCTAACCATCCCATCTCTCCCTGTAGCTACTACCACACTTTATATTCGTCATGCGGGATTAAACGAATGGCGCTTTGTTTTTTTTGTAATTCCCTCTGCACAGAAAACGCCGATGGAGAGACGGCTCTCGATGTGGCGCGGAGACTCAACCACTCGCAGTGCACGGAGCTGGTGAGCTCACACACGGTTCAGTACACTCGAGTCGCAGTTCAACACTGTGCAGTTGTAGCCGGTCTATCCTGTCGTGAATCCATGCAAGGTGGGGACAGGTTGACTGCACTTACGATCAGAGATACCCTCCACATCACAACACCGCAGCTGAATTTCTCGATCCGGCGGTCAGCCCAAATCTCAATTTGGAACGTGTCTCATACTCCACTGTGCACTTGGGTGCTCGGGGTCCAATCCCTGGTCACCATTGCCTTCTCTTAAATAATAATTTAAAAAACGCAACAGGCTGTCTGTAGCTGTGCAACATCGTTTCTTAGTTTCCCGTATGCTACAGAGTGTACAATTATATAGATGCCATTAATTACAGGCAGGTAAGCCTACACAAAGTTACCATGCAATTGGCCTGTGACTAAATCACCTGGAATGCACCCCCCCATCCCATCCCATCAGACGGAACCCTCCTTAAAAAGGTCTTGAGACTAAGTGAGGCTTCCCTGCACATATAAATATTGTAATTATGAATGCAATTTTAACACGACCATTTGTCCCAAATACAGCGGCATGTCAGAATCAGAATCGGCCACTATGTGAAGGCACTAGAGAAAGGAACACGTGCATTATAATGAGATTGTATGTATGTTGAACTTCTTCCGCACCGTACGTAGCCAACCGTGCTAATCGGAGTTTCCGGGGGAAGGACAACAAACTAAATACAAAAAGCAGTTCTAAAGAAATTAGTTTTCGATCTAGATTTCAAAGTGAATAGCTCCAGTGGCTTCCTAATATCGGAAGGAAGAGCGTTCCAGACGGCCGCAGAAGCGCATCTGAAAGCGCGCGCGATGCAGTGGACCGTCTTTGTCCCATTGCGCTGAAGATGCGGGATTTTATTTGAAAGACAATGAGAGAAATCATGGAGAGGTGAGGAATCGTGTACTCAATGAGGCAGTAATAGATGGAAGCCAAACGCATTGTTTGGTGGTGATACTGCGTTGGCAGGGGTGCACACAAATAAACATAACAACAAAACTCTGTGGCCTTATGTGGAAAAATATATAATTGGCGACATGTTAAGCAAAGCCCCTTCTTTAATTTATCATTGAATAAATCATTTACGTGCTATGAAGAAGGGCCATTGCCCTGAAGTGTCGATTATCATATATATTTCCTTTTAATTCAGCGTTCTCAACGAATGTTTTGAGTTTTTTGTTGTTCAGATGGAAGTGGTCAGTCATTGGCTTCATAATGAATTAAACAAAGCAGTACCCTGCAGCGTATGTTAATTCATCCCAGCCTAACACAGCATTATCGTACTTTAAAGCAGGTGCTGTGTGTGTATCCCATTGTGCGGCGTTGTACGTGATGCTGAGATGGCTGTCTCTGTCGTGCTGCTCACACCCCTCTCCAGCTGGAGCAGGCGATCGCAGGCACTTTCGGCACCCGGGTGCACGTGGAATACAACTGGAACCTGCAGCAGGATGACTTTGATGAGAGTGACGACGACCCAGATGAGAAGGTGACACCTGCTGTGCTTGTCTTTGTTGTTGTTGTGTCGCTGTTCACTCGCATTGTCTCGGCACTCGTCCTGCAGTGTGTGAATGTGTGTGTAACTCGCTGTAGTGTGAATGTGTGTGTAACTCGCTGTAGTGTCGCGGCTTGCACGCTGCGCTACGAACCCGGAGACCCGAGTTCGATGACCAACACCAGTGACGATTATCTGAACCGGTCCTGGGTTTCTCCTAGATCGACTCGGCCTCAAATGAGTACCTGGTGCAGTGTGTAAACATCGCCACTAGGGAGACAAAGGCAGTCGGGCGTGGTGCTGGCCACCCACCCCTTCGTATATCATTCCGGCCTTCATAGGTGCTCGCTATCAGCACTTGCCCCAACAGTCTGTTAAGGCTACAGTATATTGGGGATCTTTGTCTCGTGTAACTTGCACGCACTTATGTAACACCTATGGGCAGCAGTGGTCGAGTGCTTAGTGCACGGTGTTATGAACCCGGCGGCCTTAGTTGCCACTCCCGGCCAACATCGGTGACAAATATCTAAACTGGTCCTGGGTCTCCCGTCTATCAATTAAGGCTTAAATAAGCACCTGGTGTGGGTGGTGGAAAAATCGCCACCGGGGAGACAAAGGCAGCCAAGCATAGTGCTGGCCGCACCACCTCTACGTGCACCGCGGTGGCCTTGACAGTCGCTCGCCAACCGCACTCAGAAGTCTGATAAAGGCTACACGGGGAGCTGATGGGGGGGGGTGGGGGTGTTTCTCGTTGTGCAACTCGCCCTTGATGCCACGCGTCGCTGCACCGCTCGCAGGTGAGCCCCGTGCGGCGCGAGCGTGGCGCCCGCCCCGTCAGCTGCTACCACTGCCCATCGCAGCAGCACCTGAGCCGCGAGCGGCCCGGCTCGACGCGCGAGCGGCGCCCCCCGCCGCTACACGGGGTCGACCCGGGGTCGCGGCAGCTCTCGACGCTCGCCAGCACCGCCAAGCGGGTGGCGGCCGAGGTGGCGGCCGCGGCCGCGGCGGCGGCGGCGGCGGCGTCGGCTGCTGGGACGGATTACAGTAACGGCGGGCAGCAGACGGACGTCTGCTCGGCACCTCCGCTACCTCCTCGCATCGCCGGCAGCACTATCAAGGGCCCACGTGAGTGATGCTCCAGTGTCGGGAAAAGAGGCAGGGAAATGCTTCAATAATATGCGTTTCTTTTATTTGTCTTGACAGCGGTGCTGGTAAATTATGCTCTCGGTGATTCCTAACAGCGGTTCTGTCTGGGATACTCGCTTAATGTTTTTTTTTTAAGCGGTGGTTCAATTGGTGGCGCTTTCAGTGATCAAAAGAGTGGTCCCGTCAGTGGTGTTATCACGAATTGATTGAATGAGTGAGCCTAACGATTGATTGGTGATCTCGCCAGTGATGGGACAGGAGACGATTTTTAGATCCAAGTGTGCGATTAATAAAAAAAAAAACCCCACTGACTGAGCACCGCTATTCCTGATTTACCATCACCCCCGCTGTGACTCATCCGGTCACCCGTCTCTGTGGACTCCCTGACGCTCGGGTGCCGTGCGGTGTCGCTGGGTCGGGTGCCTCTTACTCTCCGTTGCGCTGCTTTCCGGGCGTGCAGCCGTGCCGGGCCTCCCCGGCCTCGCCGCTAACATGGTGGCGGGCAGCTGCAACTCGATGTCGCGGAAAAAGCCGCCTCCTCCCCCGCCTGCCAGCAGCCCCGGCTCGGGGCACAAGCGGACCCTGTCGGAGCCGCCGGGGGTGATGCCGCCCACGCCGCCCGTGCGCGGCTCCTCGGTGCTGCGCGGTGAGGGCCCCGGGCCTGGGCCGAGAGGCTCGCGACGAGCCCCCGGGCCGCGTTTCCCTCCTGCGACCGACCCCTTGCCCCGTGGTCTCTGCGGCGAGCGCAGAATCGGCTCGGATTGTTAGCCGCATCTGGCATTCGTTGCCATTTGTTACGTCCACGACGGGTGTAGTCACGGACGAGTCGAGTCTGCCAGGAGTTGCACAGAAGGGGGCGATGTTGCGATGTGAAAGTTAGATAATTTTGCTTGTAATTGGAACCGGAGGCAATCACGTGTGGCGTGCGTCTCCCTGCTTGTGTACCGTTATACAATATTATTTGTATTCATATAGCCCCTAAATACGGCAACAATGGATGGTCTATAGCTGAGGCATCACTGGTTCCCCCCCCAGCATTGCAGTTAAGAGAAATAGTATAATAGTGGTGGCGACGATTAATAAGGGCAGGAAGTCGGCAGCATGGATTTCCTGAAGTACTGAATTCCAATCGAAAGGGGCAGCAGAAGAGCGGGAGCGACCACCCAATGAGCAGAGGTTGGTGCTTCAGGAGGAGGCTTTGGATGATTTCATACTTAGGCTTTCACGACCAATATTTTAGTTACTGAAGTAAAGAAACGCGTGGGGAAGAGAAGAGTGAGATGAGAGGGTAGAGGTGGGGCAGAGGCAAGTCCGTGGAGGATCTTGAAAATGTTGATCTTGTTGTTGATTCGAGATTGGCTTGGGCGCCAGTGGAGGAATCTGCGCACCGAGGTGATGTGGTGGTCTCATTTATGGGTGTGGATGAGCGGCATTTCGGCAGCGTTCCGGATGATTTTTCAGTTGGGAGATGAGGGATTTGGAGAGGCCATCGAGAAAAGAGTTGTGGTAGTCAAGGCACGAGGCAATGAAGGCATGGATAAGAGTCTCATCAGTGCAGGGGGCAAGGAAGTAAGATGTTGCAAAAGCTGCTTTCTCATTTTTGCATGTAGTAGAGAAACTGGAGTACTCGAAAAAAATAAATGCATCGGAGTTGATAATACCCAAAAGTGTGCTTACTACTTGCTACCCTTGAGGATGGTGTCCACCAAACCCGCCCCGACTTTCCTGGCCTACAGGCGCGCACCACGGCGGCGACGCGACCAGCGGCTGTCTGTGCGGCTGTGGTTTTTGCCGGCTGTGGGTTTTGTACCGGGGAACGGGATGAGACGCAGCGTCTCGGCCTCCTCTCGTTTCAGGGTCCAACGAAAGCTCGCCGCCTCCGCCCCCTCCCGTGGCCAAGCCGGCGGCGCTTTGCGACATCGGCAATCGGCAGCCAAGGTGAGCCCCCCCCCCCCCCTGAACACCGGATCGGTTAACACTGCCACGCACAGAGAAGAGAAAGCCCCCGTGCATATTTAGCGACGTGTACCCGATGTCTGAGCAAGAACACCGTTATCTTCATGTTCGCCATAATCTATACGTTGTTGGATGAAGGCCACCCCAAGGCTGTCTCCATCCCTCATGGTCCCGCAACGCAACAATCCGTCTTGATTCTGCACACGAACCGATTTCATCGCTCTATCTCGTCAGTGGACATTATCTTGGGCGTGTTCCCTGCTTTGGCTGCCACTCTTTTATTGATCTCGACCATTGGCCATCATCTCCTCTCTCTGTTGTGCTATAAAGAAGGACCATTGCCCAAAATGTCACGTGTTATATATTTTGTTGTCATTTAAGGCAGTGTTATTGACGAATGTTTTGATTTGTTTTGTAAGTTTTGCTTAGGCAATGGGATTAGCTAGAGTCATTCAGGTTCGGTTTGACCATGAATGAATCGCGTGTTACCGTGAACAGCCCTGACAACAAATTGCAAGCTGGGAAACGGCCAACCATCCACGGCCTGCGTGTTCTACCCAAGATGCCTCCTTCCGCCTCAGGTAGTGACAAAATTTGCTGTATGCCAGGAAGCTGGCGCACCACAATCTAGCGATGAAACAATTTCTTGTCTCTCACCAGAAAGAACATGTGTCCCATTAGAACAGGGCGTGCTTTTGGCCCTTCTCTCCCAGTTATACACCTTGGATTTTTCTCCGGGTTCCCTGGTTTTTCCCTCCGCATTTAAAAACATGCGCCTCGAGTATTTGGCTGCTATGAATTTCCACATAATCAGCTACTTCATTTGTGGCCATTGTTGCTTTTGACCTTCCCTGTTAAAATAAAAAATTGTTTAGTTTTGAAGTTTAACACTATCGGTATCACATCATGAGACAAATACTTTGCCAATTGGGATTCCTGCCCCTAGCACTGCTCTTGTTTGTCAGAGAAGCCCCAGAATACGATCGCAGAACTGTGGCTCGAATTATTTGGCTTTTTTTTATCCGTACTATCGGTCCGTCTTTTAAATGCCCTGCACGATGCCCCCATCGCATCTTAATCAAACGAACATGTTTTACACCTCGGAGCTGGACTAAGTCCCGTAAAATAAAACAATTTAATACGATGGATCTTCGCACAGCTGTTGGTGGCTGGACAGATCTCAGAATTTAGCTACTCTCGAGAACCTGGCTTATAATCACAGGTGGCTGATTCTATTAGATATTGGAAGCTAAGCAGGGTCAAGCCTGACAAATGCTTGAGTGGGCAACCCCAATGCACACACAAAACAGGTGCTGTAGGCATTGTGAGCAGCAGAGGGCAGTGCAACAAAATTAAAATATCGTTCTGTATTGTACCTCACGTTCACCAACCCACAAGCACCAGCGTGGTGAAGCAATGGCGAATGACCTCTCATGACCCACGCTACGTGGGGAGGCCCTCATCCAGCAGCGGGATGACAAGGGGCTGCGCGTGTTGGTTACGTGTACGTGCTCTTGTTCTGTGCAGCGTTGAGGAGGAGGTCCGAGACGACGGGGAGCACCGAGTCGCTGTCGCAGCAGCCTCCCGTCAACCCGGCCGCCAGGCCCGTGCTACCCGGCACCGTGAGCCGCACCCCACCGCTGGAACGCCTCGGAGCCAAGCCTCAACTGCCGGACCACCCTGGACACAAACCGCTGGCTCCGGATCCTGGAACGAAGCCACAGTCTATGAATCACCCCATGCCCAAACTGATTCCGCCCGATCCTGGTACGAAGCCTCACCTCCCGGATCTCCCTGGAGCCAAACCTCAGGCCTCCGAGAGCCGGGCCAGACTGCAGATGCCGGAGCTTCCTCTGAGCAAGCCGCAGACTCCGGATCCTGGAACCAAGCCCCAGCTTCCGGATCAGAGAAGTAAGCCACAAGCTGCAGACCAGAGCCTCAGGCCGCAGCCGCTCGCGCTGGCGCCCAAGCCTCAGCTGCCAGATCCGGCAACCAAGCCACAGCTCGCTGAACTCACGCCGGTCCGGCCCCGAGCCCCCGAGCAGTCGGCCAAACCTAGCCGGTGGAGCACCGAATCTGAGAGAGCGGCGAACAGGATTTCCCGTGGCCCCGATCCTCCGATGCGACCGCAGATGCCGCCGCCGCCACCGCCGCTGCAGCGGCAGCAGCACGGCAAGCGCGTGTCGGGCTCCACGGAGGAGGTGCAGGCGATGGAGGAGCAGCTGTCGCCCTCCTCGCCGGCGCCACTTCCTCTGCCGCGCAAGACCGTGCAGGTGCTGAGTTTATCCAGAGTCGTGTGTGCTGGCTGTGTGCTGGCTGTGTGCTGGCTGGCTACACTGGCTGTGTGCTGTGTGGGCCTCGCCCTGCTGCGTTGTGCCCCTGTGCTCTGCTACTTCTTTACTTACGTTCTGCTCTGTACTGGCAATGTAAAGGTTTCACCCACACACGGTAAATCGATAGATTGTCACAATTTGTCAATTCAGTCTGCGTTGTGCTTTTTTTTGCATTCTTTTTAAAGTCTCATTGTCTGTCTCGTATTCTGTGCCTGACTCCTTCTTCCTCGTTTGTTCCATTAACCAAAAGAGAAATGCCTCTCACCCCACCATGCTCTCACACATTTGACCTCTCACCCCCACCCTCCGCGGCCGTCGCCCCACAGCGAGTGAAGACGAAGCAGCGGCGTGTGAAGGCCATCTACGACTGCACAGCCGACCACCCCGACGAGCTGACCTTCCACGAAGGCGAGGTGTTGCTCGTGGTGGAAGAGGAGGATGCGGATTGGTGGGTGCGTAAATCCATCTCCTCTCTTCTCCTGCACACGGCTGGAGCTACCACATGTCCCAGTTGGGGCTGTTCGATCCGGGCCACGCCAGCTATTCTGCCTCCAAGCTCCCCTTGTAAAGACCCCGTAGGATAGAAAACGCTGTTTTTGTTTTATCACTGTGCTGATGAAATGGGGAGGAAGAGAGAGGGAGTGACGTGGGTGCTGCCCAGGCCTGCAGAAATCTATTTTTACTCGAGCAGGAATGCTTATATTTCTGTATGGCCTGGCAGAAACCACAGCCATCGCTTGTCGATGCAGTGTCTCCACCAGAGCTCATTTTAACAAGGGTCCGGGCAAGAGCTGCGTCGCTATGAAACTAGAGCGGAGAGCACCACAGCCTGTAAGCCGTCTCTGCCAAAGCCAGTACGTGTAGAGCCCGTTTTATTAATCCATTGCTGGATGAGGGCCTCCCACCCAATGCGGGCAGTGAAGGATATTTGACCACACCTCGCCACGCTGGTTAGTGTGGGTTGTCTTGTCCCTTGAACAACAACGAATTTTTCTGCACTCTCCTCTGCTGCCCACGACATCCCTTCTTACACCTGTATTTTGTGCTTGGTGGTCACCCATCCAAGTGCTGTCCAGGCTAAAACATGCTCAGATTCGAAGGTCTCGGGCGCATTCCGGATATTTGGTCATAGCTGAAGCCACCAGATCCAGCACGTGTTGTTGGATGATCGTATGAGGTGGTGCCCAAGCGATATCTATAGGTCCCACTGACCCATGAGGTCACTTGTGTGTTACTCCTCCACGCTTGCCCATAGCTACAGCTGAAATTCATTTAGCCATGAGGCTGCTTCGCCCGTTCCATTTTTACCCAAACAAGACGAATGGTTGTTCACCGCGCATCAAGTCGCTGTGGTGTTGTGCTGGATCGTGACCGATTGATTCTCTATCGCCAGATCGGCCACGTGGAGGGTGAGCCGGAGAGAACGGGCGTCTTCCCCGTGTCCTTCGTCCACATCCTCTCTGACTGACAGCGCAGCAGGATCTCACGTCCGTCTGAATCGTAGCTGGTCTTAGATTCAGGGGACACACTTGCCCGCACACGCACACACAAGGGCCACAAACACACGAGCACACAGCAAGACTTCAACCAGCGTACCTACGAATAACACAAACGAGTGCAAAAAATATTAATCTTTCCACATGTGCTCTCACATGATAAAGTGACATGGGAATTAAATTCAAATTCCATCCAGTCCTGTCTTGTCCCTTTAACATTGACTCTTCCCCCTAGTACCCGTCCCAACAAACATTGTCCCATTCTGCTCTGTAAGCCTGTCGCACGCACACACCACAAATACTACCACAACAACAGCCACCATTCACTACTAAGTGGCGGTGACGTCACCACGGCGCTTGTGCCAGAACAGGTGCACATACACGCAGACACGTCTATATTTCACCATACATTCACATACTAACAAAGACACACTAACATGCGCACACACGTGCCATGCACACACACACAGGTGCATGCAAATAATAACATGCATACACATCGTAACATGCGCACTCACACACATACTTACGTGCACACAAATACCCAATGTTCCTCCTCTGTCTATTCCCTTTGCTCAAGTCCCATCCATTCCCATGGGTTTTGATTCCATTCCTGCATGCTCATGTGGTGCATTTTCTCATTCCAACAGCACTTCTGCACGGTTGCCTTCCTTAACTTCACTCCCCAAATGCACGTTCCCCAAGACACAGTGAGGCCTAAATGTTTCCAGCATGTTCCACCACGGTTTTTAGCTGATAAGTTTAATAATTTACTGCCCCTTTGTCGTTCCACTGCGAGTTTGAATGCTTCCTATCGCTGTGTCGGTCATGGAGGTTGTTTGACCATACTTCACCACGCTGGTAAGTGCCGGTTGGTGAAAAGGGGTGACCCAGGACCGGTTGAGATATCACCCTGTTACTACTCCTCTTCTTGCGTATGGAAACATATTCAGGGGGCTAAATGCCATTGTCGATCTTGCTAGCCACGAGAGGGCTTCTTTTGAAAGAGCGCAGACGGTGGTTTACTGCATTGTCCATAGTTACTGACGATAGCCGTGAGCTGGGAATCCAACTCCGATGGCAGTGTGCGTATAACTGCGCCACCAAGGAGATTATGAAGAGCCGTGTACATTTAAACTAGGAAGGTTGCATGACCAATCTGGCTGTGCAATGATGAAGCAGCAAAGACGGCACAGTTGATCAAAGATGCCGTCTAGAGGCTCGCTTTAACCACGGGCCGTGGTGTGTGTATGTACAAGTGTGTGTATGCTGTGTAAATAGATATGGCCTTTCCATTTGCAACCCACTGCAGATGCTGCCTTTGACTCCAGTTTTGGCTGGTCACCGAAACTAGTCTGTTGTACCCGCGTCGCAGTAAGACTTGGGGGGGGGGGGGGGGGGGCAAGCTTCCCAGTCAATCGCCTTGTTTCCACGTTCAATGTTAATTATAGAAGAACAATGATGATTATAAGGAAAAAGCAATGCAATGCATACGTATGGGTGATAATTTGTAATCTCTTTACTGCAATGCCTCCCACGAGCCTCCTTTGTTGTGATCGTACCCTTGCTGACCCTTACCCCATCACGCTGGCATTTCAAAACTTGAGGGCTCAATGCAGTGATGGGAACACAAAGCACAATTAATTGTGGGAGACGCCACCTTGGTTTTTTTGCTTTATTATTTGCAACCGGGGTTTAATTGCTTACGTTAAACCCAGTTTTCATAACCCTCCTCCAGACGACTTGAATCCCGCCCCGACCACCCACCTCCCAGCAATCTCTTTGCAAAGATAAAAACAAATTGCTCCCCAGGGGCGTCGCCATAGCCACAACGTAGCCATTTGATTATCACTGCCTGGGGCTCCGCCATTAGTCACGTAACTAATGAATCCATCGTTGGGAATAAACTTTGCGAGCCCCATCACGTGTGTGGTCGTGCGAGTGAATGAACATGGAGTCGCGTAGGCTTCTTCAACTGGTAGCCCCGTGGGTCAGACCTAGTGGTCCACTGAACTGTGGCCCGCCGAGAGATGTTGACTCACCGAGACCTAAAGAGATTAAGATTAATGTACTGAAAGCGAGGTTCACGAGAGGTATGCGACTTGGAGATAAGAGGTATAGATTTGTGGTCACATGCACAGACGTTAAGAATATCGCGACGCCACGTGACTTTATCCCGTGTGTTTACATGACATAAGGTCATGTGGTCCACAGCAGATGCACATTTTTTGGCCCTCCATAAAATGCAGTTGAAGAGTCCTCGAGTGAATTGTGTATGTATGTTGAACGTCTTTTGCACCGTACGTGGCCATCCGTGCTAATCGGAGGTGCAGGAGATGGAACATGGGGCTGATCCTTCGTTGCACTGCACGCATTGCCTATCAGAGATTTAAAAGCTCTTAAAGTCTCGTCTCTTGTATTTAGTTTTATGTCAATTTTAAGTGTATATTGACTTTGTGACCGAGTATAACAATCTCGCAGTTACTCAATAACTTTCTGTTGAAAAGTCAATTACAGTTTGAAACGTACGAGCAGGGAGGAGGAGGGGTTTTGTGAATTAGGAGATGTGGTGAAGCTACCTAGTGATGAGCGCTGTGCGTCATTAATTTTAACAAAATTCAACAAAATCATTTTTCCACCCTCGAGTGTCCACGTTGTACCGCGTGTTTGTTCGGCTCCGCGCACCGGGTGGCTCCCTGTGCCAGGTGGCTCCGCGTGTCGGGGGGCTCCCTGTGCCAGGGGGCTCCCTGTCCCAGGTGGCTCCCTGTGCCGGGTGGCTCCCTGTACCAGGGGGCTCCCTGTGCCGGGTGGCTCCCTGTGCCGGGTGGCTCCCTGTGCCGAGTGGCTCCCTGTGTCGGGGGGCTCCCTGTGCCGGGTGGCTCCCTGTGCCGGGTGGCTCCCTGTGCCGGGTGGCTCCCTGTGCCGGGTGGCTCCCTGTGCCGCGTGGCTCCCTGTGCCGGGTGGCTCCCTGTGCCAGGTGGCTCCCTGTGCTGGGTGGCTCTGCGTGTCGGGGGGCTCCCTGTGCCAGGTGCCTGCCTGTGCCTTGTAGCTCCGCGTGCCGGGTGGCTCCACGTGGCTCCCTGTGCCGGGCGGCTCCTTAGCACCGGAGAGATCCACCACGTGGAACGAAACGCTAGACATCAGA